ATTCATCAATGTTTGACAGTATCATCTGTTGTTTTATTTGAACATTTTTCTTTCTCAGTCTTTTAAGTATTCCAGTATTTTATGACACACTGGTAAGAGTTAAAAGAAAGGGAAAGAACACAAATGGATACCTACTGAAAGCATCCATTACATTATTTTACTCTTCGGGAATAACTTTTTCACAAATTCTGATTGTGATTTTTGGTCCATTCTATACAAGATATGGTGAGTAACATCATTACATAGACCAATGGCAGTGGATTTCATATTTAAAAGTATAAATAAATTAGCTATCATGCTGTCTGACCACTTTTTTGATTAAGTATTAGTTATTACCTAGTAAGTTCCACAAGAACAAGAATCAAGTTGGTGTTACTTCTGTATCTCCATCCCCTTCCGTAGACGTTGGCCTGTAATAGGTACTTTAACAGGTGCTCTATGACAGTTGAATGTCAAATGAATTAATTATAATAGCTTCACATAATGAAGAAACCCAAACTATTGCATACTTCTACCAAAAAATGACTGTGTCAAAAGAAAATAAATAGTACTTTTGTTAAGATTCTCTCCCATTCTTAGAGGTCAGATAGAAGGTGTGGTTGGGGGTGCGCCTGGGTGGCTTAGTCGGTTAAGTGTCCGACTTTCGCTTAGGTCATGATCTCGCGGTTCGTGGGTTCGAGCCCCGCGTCTGGCTCTGTGCTGACTGCCAGCTCAGAGCCTGGAGCCTGTTTCAGAGTCTGTGTCTCCCTCTCTCTCTGACCCTCCCCTGCTCACGCTGTCTCTCTCTCTCTCTCTCCTAGAAACTAAAAAAAAAAAAAAAATTTAAAAAAAAGTGTGGTTGGGAAGGACTGTGGAAATGATAGAGAATTTTTTTTATTGTTAACACATGGTGTTACATTAGTTACAGGTATACAAAATAGCTACATTTTTTTGTAACACACGGTGTTACATTGGTTACAGGCATACAACATAGTAGACAAGTCACTACATTATGCTGTGCCATCACAAGGACAGCTGCCATCTGTCACCGTGAAATGCTATTACAGTGTTAATGACTGTATTACCTGTGCTGTACATTTCATCCCTGTGACTTACACATTCCATAACTGAAAGCCTGTATCTCCCACTTGCCTTCACCTATTTTCTTGTTTCCTCCCCACACCTTCCCTCTGGCAACCACCAGTTTGTTCTCTGTGTTTGTGTGTCTGTTTCTGCTTTGTTTGCTTTGGTTTTTATATTCCACATATAAGTGAAATCATATGGCATCTGTCTTTCTCTGATTTCACTTGGCATAATGCCCTCTAGGTCCAAACCATGTTGTCACAAATGGCATGATCTCATTTGTTTATGACTAATATTCCACAGAACGTAAGTACATCTTCTTTATCCATTCATTTATCAGTGGACACTGAGGTTGCTTCCAAATCTCGGCTATTGTAAATAATACTGCAGTAAATATAGGGGTGCATATGTCTTTTCAAATTAGTGGGGGGTCTTGGGGGTAAATACACAGTAATGGAATTACTGAATCATGTGGCATTTCTATTTTTAATTTTTTTGAGAAACCTCCATACAATTTTCCACAGTGGCTGCACCAATTCACATTCCCGCCAGTAGCACATGAGGGTACCCTTTTCTCCACATCCCCAATACTTGTTTCTTGTGCTTTTGATACTAGCCATTGTGACAGGTGTGAGGTGATATCTGATTATGATTTGATTTCGATTTAATATTTAGTGGTGTTGAGCTCTTTCCATGTGTCTATCAGCCATGTGTGCCTTGTTTGGAAAAATCTATTTAGGTTCTCTGCTAATTTTTTTTTTTTAATTTTTTAAAATGTTTATTTCTAGGAGAGAGAGAGAGAGAGACAGCGTGAGCAGGGGAGGGTCAGAGAGAGAGGGAGACACAGACTCTGAAATAGGCTCCAGGCTCTGAGCTGGCAGTCAGCACAGAGCCCGACACGGGGCTCGAACCCACGAACCGCGAGATCATGACCTAAACGAAAGTTGGACGCTTAACCGACTAAGCCACCCAGGCACCCTGGTTCTCTGCTAATTTTTAATTAGATTATGTCTATTTTTGGTGTCGAGTTGTAGCAGCTCTATGTATTTTGGAAATTAACCCCTTATTGGAGGTTTCATTTGCAAGTATCTTCTCCCATCCAACAGGTTCCCTTTTCCTTTCATTGGTTCCTTCACTATGTAAAAGCTTTTTATTTTTACTTAGTCCCAATAGTTTATTTTTGCTTTTGTTTCCCTTGCCTGAGAAAACCAGGCTAGAAAAACGTTGCTAAGGCTGATGTCAAAGAAATTACTACCTAGGTTTTCTTCTAGGAGTTAGGGTTTCATATCTCCCCTTTAGGTCTTTAATCCATACTGAATTTTTGTGTAAGGTGTAAGAAAATAGTCTCAATAAATGGTACTGGGAAAACTAGACTATCTTTCCCTCTTGTATATTCCTGCTTCTTTTGTCATAAACTAACCATGTAAGTTTGGGTTTACTTCTAGGCTTTCTTTTGTTTCACTGATAATAGGGTTTTGTGTGTGTGTGCTAGTACCATAGTATTATGAGTATTACAGATTCATAGTATATCTTGAAATCTTTCTCAAGATTGCTTTGGTTTACCATCTGTTGCTGTAGGTAAGCTTCCTATAAGAGGTCTCATTTATATATGTATCCTGAGTCTGTTACCATCCATTAGAATTTTACTTCAGACTGGAAGAAACAAACTACATCTCTCCATTTCACAATGACAGGATATTCACTTAATCTATTTACTTAAATCTATCTACTGGCTATTGGTGGATTGAATACTTATCTGCTAAGCTCTGGATAACAAAAGTGCATTCCATCCCTGTAGTTTGAGACTTTTTTTGTGAATGTTCTAGTAGGATGAATAGTAAGAAATTTTATCTGACCTCTGCTACCATAGGTCTGTTGCTGCCCATTTCCATGCAACAGACAGCCTGAAAGATGGTGTCAGGAGAAGGGCAGAGACTCAGGCCCATAAGCTCCACTGATTTTTATAAAAGTGGCATTTGACTCCTTTACTACAGGGTCCTCATTAACCATTCCCTGGCTGGTTATGTACTTTGTGGCACATTCTCCCATCCTTGCACTGTGCTAGACCAGTTTTCTCACTCTGATTTGTGTTGGTTAACACCTCTGCACACCTGGCCTCAGCCACTGGTACTCAGTGCTCCCCCATCCTATCAGCTAGGCCAGATGCCTTTCAGAGTCAGCAAAACCTGTTTTTTTGAAGGTACAAAAGAGAAAGAACACATTTCACCAGAAGCAGGAACTACTAGAAGAATAGAGGCCTAGTTTTTTGGTTTTTTTTTTTTTTGTGATAGCTACTGTTTTGAAATCATTCTCAAGTTTATTTTCTTCATCTCTTTGAACCTTACCATCTCCTCAGTGGTTGAGCCATGACTGGACCCTACCCTTTGGTGTTACGGAATTGCCTTTAATCATCATTTACTTTATGATCCTACCTGATCGCAACTTTCATACATTCCTGTTTACTTAGCCCTCAGGCTATAGTCATGTGGAACCCAGCCACCTATAGCATTTCATTCTTTTCTTCGTTAAAAACAAAACAATCTGTTAATCCCAGTCTGTCTTCTCACGTTGTCCTTTCATAGGTTAGTGTACTAGAGATCAGTTCTCATTAAGATATTTTCATTTGGAGTAGAAGGCTTGGTCTTATCCTTACTCCCCTGCTCTGGACAATTTAAAGCATTCCCACTTACATCTGCCCCATTTCCAAAATAGTCTCAACCCCAAAGGCATGACCGAGTATGAGGTTGTGGCAAACAATCTGTAACCAACAACAAAATGTGTGTGTAAATGGAAGTCCCATTAATCTATGACTGTCATTCCTAGCCATTCCTGTATGATTTTTTGAGAGAAAAGGGGTAGAATCCTAGGAGTCCTACAAAGCATTGGCATCATGTCCAGTGCAAGTCATTTATACCATCGCCCTAGCCAGGCCACTCTTAATGGTTATGTTGATTACACACTGTAATAATTAATCTGGGCAGATCCTTGGGACTGTAAATAAAAGGGTCACAGCTACTGGTCTGTCATTAAGAAGTACCAATCACATTTCTTTGGGTGGTAATAGCTGTCTGATCTTCAAAGAACAAAGACAAAGATTCACTATATAGTACCAAGTACAGTAGAAAACTAGTATTTAATTTACTACATAGACAGTATATTTTGTATTCGAAAATTATTCAGGCCAGTGCATGCTGTATTATCTGAGCACTAAATGCATGCCTTGTTTTTATTTATTTTTTTTTATTTTTTTTTCAAATAGTTTATTGTCAAATTAGTTTCTACATAACACTCAGTGCTCATCCCCAAAGTGCCCTCCTCCATGCCCATCCCCCCCTCCCCCCCACATCCATCAGTCCTCAGTTTTTGTCAGCATTCAAGAGTCTCTCATGGTTTGCCTCTCTCCCTTTCCCCCACCATTTCCGCCCTTCTTCTCCCGCTTGTTCCTCCGTCAAGTTCCTCCTAATCCTCCTATACGTGCAAACATATATTTGTCCTTCTCTGCCTGACTTATTTCGCTCAGCATAACACCCTCAAGGTCCATCCATGTTGCTACACATGGCCAGATTTCATTGTTTCTCATTGCCATGCCTTGTTTTTATTTATAAGATTGTGATAAACCAGCTAGAGACGGTTCATAAGATTGCTTAAATCTAAACAAAATCCTTTGGTAAAGAAAATATTTTCACACTGGTCCCTTCTGCCAGATCAGTCCCTGGTGATCAGTAATGACACATGTCACAGCCGAACTGCTGTCACATCCAAAATATCTTCTAAGAAGAAAGCAACTCTGCCCTAAGAACTCTTACTCTTTATTCCATAGTATCACTGCTAAATGACATCTCTCAATTTTTAGGCATCTTGAATAAGCCATCTTTTAAGATCATTTTCTGTTGACATCAACTGAACAGTAGAGCCCAAAAGAAAAAAAGAAAACCTTCAATCATATAAAATAAACTTTAGTTTGGCTTCATGAAACACAAAAGCAATTCAGGTTATTTATCATCATTTTAGAGTTTGTTTCACACATATAATGTGGTGTTACTAAGCAATGAACACTTTCATAAAAAATTTATTTCACACTTTTATACAAATATCCACAGGTATTTTCTAATCATGAATTTTACAGTGCTAGTTAGTATTAAAATGTATCAAATGCAAACAGACCAGTGACTTGACTTAAGATGACATTTTTAACAATAAACACCACTACATTCTTGTTTCATTGTTGTTGAGCCATCCTTCCACCTCGTCCCTGCCTTTTAGGACATTCAGTTTTTTAGAGCAAAGGTCTATAACACTCAAAGTACCAGCTTCTTAGCAACCTAGAAAGATAGTTCATTAGGTTACAAGTTACCTACACAAGAAACAGATTTCTAACACTGGTATGACCGATTTTAGAGAAATATTTGTAAACAAAATGTCATTTGTAAAACTGTCTTTGTGAATGAAAATTCCAAAATACGACAAGAGTATCTTAAGGGTATAAGATTTCTGAAAAGAAAAAAAAGCTCCAAAGCAAAAATGGCACATATAGCTGTATTTTGTTCTTTTGATTGAGACACTGCTTATACTATAGCCAAACAAATTAGCACCTGTTTGCTATTATTCCCCATATAGCTTAACATTTTGAAGTATAGTAACTTTTTAAAATTCAGCTTTCCTATGCATTCAGTCTCTGTTGAATGTATAAAAATGTTTTCCTCCTCTGCCACCTCATTTTTACAATTTAGCCATTTAAAATTGTGGTTAGTGCAGTCCCCAAGTAATTTTGGGGAACACTGATTAGGAGAGGAAACAAAGTTAAAAACAGAACACTGACTCACTGATTAAATGATTCCAACATTTAAAAACTTACAAGCAGTGGGATCAGATACTCAGTAGTCTCACACTGGATCGGTTTGGATCCACCAGAGGCACCCACCATCTCTAAGTCCTGATTATACAGTATTTGCAGCAAGGACTAAACTGCACTGAAATTCAGCAAACAAATCCATTATTTCTAAGAGTTCCTGAAAGTTACAGCACAAAATGCATGACATCACACAGGGCTCTAAATTCTGAAATGTCCACTGTCTAATAAGGATTAAACATCTTATGGTTCAATCCTATTAAACATATTCTGGGTCTGGAGGAAAGGGGGTGAGAGTTGGGAGATATCATAACTTCTAATTTCTTTTTTTGCACTAAATTCAAACCAATGACATCTCATGTTCTAATTCTGATGGTCTAATCCAACTGCAAGAGAATCTTTGGCCTGTCAATGACAAAATGGTTTATAAAAAAGAAAAAATAAATACCATAGACAAGTACATATAACTAGCATTCAAGTCTGTTGCACCTGTGTTTTAGTGAAGACGAAGCATGAAACCTGTATGTTATTTAGTGAATATTCACACATCTAGGAAAGGTTAAAGATGGCAGGATGGCAACGTCACCTATTGCACATTTAAGAATAGCACTTTCAGTTGAAACACAACTCCCCCAATGGCACAGTCTTGTGATGCGGGACAGTTAAGTTGCAGGTTGTCGAGGCCTGTGGGAACAATGTGAGCAGAGGCGGTGCCAGATTAGGGCGGCCACTGTTAGCGCGGACACCAGGCGCCCGCTTGAGGATGTCGCGGGAGTGCAACCCGGCGGGCCCTTTCCCAGCACGTGTAAGTCAGCCACACCAAAAACAAAGGCAACCCGGAAAGTTAAATTAAGGCAGTGAAAGAAAAATCCATTCCAACAGTCTTAGATTTGGCTGTGCAGAACCGGAGCCTCAGGCTACATGACCACGTCCACAGTTAAAACTGTTCTGTTCGCCCTGTGTGGCCTGTCTGAAGTGAACATTCCAGGGATGGAGCAGCTTTTTTAAGTCCATTTAGATTTCTGAGTTGGGAGGGAGAAGAAGCAGGTTGGGAACTGTGAAGTTTTTTTGGTCCCCTTTAGGAGTAGCTCTCATTTTCATTCCACCTTGTGATCCACTGTTTTTTTTCCAGGTTATCATTATATTTTTCATCTTTGATCTCCCGCTCTTCCTTCCGGATCCTCACAGCATGGTATCGGGGAACGCTATCATCGTACCTAGAGCGCTTAAAGAATCCGCACTGACAAAGGGGAAAGAGAAGCAGAAATAAATTAAGTATCTCAAGAAAAGCTAATGCACAAAATGGGAGCGTCTAAGCTTTCTGTTCAGCTACGCCTACCTTTGGATAAAGGGAAAAAAAGACATGGGATAAACAGAAGAGAAGACAGCTGTAAAACTGGAAGAAAAGTCCATTATTTCCATTCTGTCTTTACTAACAAAGTTGAGTTATAGAAAAATGCTTCCATTTTTTATAATCACAATACTATATGTTAAAGATCTAATTTTCACATTAAAAAGACTGCTCTTTAAAATGATATTCTAACAAAGGCCATAAACCTAACAAAGGCCATAAACCAAAGATTATTTTTACCTCTCTCCCACTAACAGAATGGAATCAGATCACAAATATTTTACAAATTACTATCTAAATATGCCAGTGTTCAAATGGGTCAGTGTTCAAATGGGTCAATTTAAGAATCTTCTCTTCTCCAAGGCTCAGCACATATCTCTCATTAGCTACCAGGCAATTTACACTGCCTGGATTTCCTGTTGTGCTTTCAACTTAAGCTGTTTCATTCATAAATCATGTAGTAACTGTGTCCTTAATAAAATCGGTCATGTACCGCAAAGAACTCGAGTAGGACAGTAGCACTACACTGAATTTTCAAGCACCCCTAATTTTTTTTTGGGCAAAAGAAATTTACACTTAGGTTATTAATGAATATATATTTTATTCATTTTTTAAAAAATATTCAATCTGATCCAAGGTAGATTTTTATTGAGAACATATTAGGGAATTTTTTTTTTTTAACTCAAATTGAATTTTTAAAATGAATAAAATATGTTTAATGAAAAAGGTGTGTTTTCAATTTAAAAATGCAGATAGAGGGAGGATGAGGAAGATAGTTGGAAGGGTCAATTTGTATCATGTAACAGGACTGGAACATTTATTTTGAATGATGTTATAAGATGTCATGGGGCAAAGCTATATCCAGTCATCACTAAGTCAATTGGAAAAAATGACCAAGACATTTTGTTCTAAGGCCATGTCTACATGGACTCCTTAATTATTCTGTGCAAAAAGCCAAAATACCTATCAATTACAAAATGTGGCTCTTGCTTCATTTAGACAAAGGAGGAAATCAAGGGTGGTATGTAAAGCTGAAATGGAAATGTTGGGATGCATCATGACAATGCCATGGAAAGGGATTATGGAGTAACTCCATCCTCCCATGCCCACAGAAATGGAAAAAGGAATTACCACCAATTCCTGTTTCCATGGAATTACACACAAGAGAAGCAAAATATATGAACTTAAAATCAACCAAGAGCCAAAGTTGAATAAAATCTCTAGAAACATGAAACCAGGGCAAATTCCATTACAACACATTGAAAGAGTAACTGTCCAGAGCATTTTTATATTAGAATTTTGTATAATGAAGGTCACTTTGGTCTAGAGCCATCGTCTGTAATTGGCCATCATGTCCACCATGTCAGCAGTCATAGTTTGTTGTAATGGTCTTTGACCTGTAGTAGATATGCAGGAAAAGAAGTTGCATGCTTAGCTGGCATAAAACAATTTCTGAGCAACAACAAAAGCATTCCAAGCCTTCCCCCATCACTTTATAGCGAGATCAAAAAAGACAGAAAGCCACCTCATCAAGAGAAACACAATGTTTCCAACATGCAACAGGTTAATTAGGCAGTCAGTCAACACAAGCTTCTATCTGTGGGAAATTCCAAAATGGACAAGAAACCTGTCATGATTTCTTATTCATCTTTGAAATTCCAAGTGGGGTGCTACGTACTAGATTGATAACACATGGCAAACTGGGCTAGTATGGAGGGGTAATGCCTCCTTTTGTGTGTACATAGATTGCAATCTTCTTCATTGCCGTGGGTGATGTTTGACAACAACACAGAATAACTCACCTGTAACAAAAGATTCTTTGTGCATTTCTAAAACAAAAAACACCCTGAGCTTTCAAGTGAAATAAAATAAATCCAAGCAAGGCAAGCCAGTGTGGACATTTGGAAACATCTGTTAATGGGACACACACAGCAAGCTGTTGCTCTTAAAGTTAGCCACCACAACCACAGCACGTCCCACAGCTAGCAATTAAAAAACATTGATCAATTACCAATTACAGAAGTAGATCAATACTATGCATCAGAAGTAAGCCTCTCTTTATCAGACGGCTGAGCATGGATCTCAGCCTTGTGATATGTGGCATCATAATGATCTTTCTTATTTCTCTTGAAGAAACCACACTATAAGGAAGCAAGGTATTTAGTCAGTTTTACAGTTTTGAATATAAGGCTAAACAAAAGCAAATTTCAGATTTTAACCTGTTTTCTATTTATGGCTTGTTTACAAAGAGACCACAATGGATCAGCCAAAAGTGAAGAGCCACCGCACTATGTTACACTGACAGCGACCAAACCAACTCAATTCTCATGGGTCTCTGGTCAAATACTTAGACAAATGACATTAGTCACCTGATTTTTCTATTTGTAACAGAAGTCCTGAGTACAAACATCATTGTAAGGATTATGAATATGAACTCTAAAACAGGCAAAAGATTGACTTGTGCCTTTTACTTAGACAAATGGCTAAGGAAGTTTTCTAAGCTTTAGCACAAATCCACATAAAACAGATACTGCATTTTTCTGCCTTTCACAGTAACTTTTATGGAACAAATGCCATCTACTTTGGATTGTGGGTAAATCACAATATAAATTCGAATTTACCATCATGAAAGAATGACTGCTATCACTTTCCCAAATTCTGAACCACTATGGAACCCTTAAGTTGTAGGAACCTATGTTCTTTACGTTAAGTCACTCTAAATGAACATAGAAGTGTAATTCCATTTTCTACTATAACTTCCTTCATTCAATGATGGAGAACTTTTTTGGTCTACTTGTTCATAAGGCTATGGAACTGCCTTTTGAGCCACAGCTTGGTCAAATAAATCTGCTGTCCTGGAAAATGCTGCTTCCTAGTCTGCCAGCTCAGGAAGATAAAAATCTAAGTCTGTTTTGTACAGTGTGCTAACTACAAAGTACACGAGGGTATTCAAATTTAAATTAAAAATACCTCCGTTGCACATTCCAAGTGCTCAGCAGTCACCCGTGTCTCAGAACTACACACCGGACAGTGCAGCTTCAGAACACTTCCATCTTCACAGGACATTTTATTAGGCAGCACCAATCTAAACTCTTTATCCTGGTGTTTACTTGTGACTCTCTCCATTTAATATGCAGTGAACACATGGACCAACTTTCAGTCACACATGCCAGGCAACAGGGTGGGGAGAAGGAATGAGCCAGGAACCCAAAGTCCTGGTCCTGCCTGCAGCTTGGCAACATTCTTAACATCCGCAGGCATGAGCATCCTTGTTGGCACAATGAAGGTGACTGGCCCAGCCTGAAGGACTTTTTGTCTTTACCTCCCAACAAAACCCTATGCAATATCCTGGTGTTTAAAGCAGATAACATCAGTACCACTCGGGCTGAAGTGAGGATATCTGCACTAGCTCCACTGCTTCACTTCATCTTGGCACCTATGTGGATGTGTAAAATTCACTTTAAAGGCCGCTGAACCAGAGTCCTTTCTGGTCCTCAAGTTCTAGGATTTTAACACATAAAAACAAATAGTTCACTTTCAGAAAGAAGAGTATCCATAAAGTAATAAAGATGATGTTCATGTAGGGGATATAGAGATTGTCTGCTTCCTTTAGAGTTCACTTGTGAGTTCTGGATACTTTCAAGCTACAAACAACCCATGAGATCACATAGTCCAATCCACATACTGAAGAGCTGAAGCAAACCAGTGCCCCAGGGGGATGAAGTGATTTGCCTAAAATTATACAGCTCAGGTTTCTTAACTCAATCACTGCTATATCTTAGCCGCATTAAAGACTGCCAATAAGACCTGCTCTGAAATAGACTGTCTTTGTGACCTCCTCCCAAGAGGACACGAAGGCCATTTTCAAATATCAAACCTCAAATTCGGCTTTTGATACCAAAATAGTTTTCAGAGCATCTTCTATGGCTGGCTGTGCTGAACAGAGAAATCTACTGCCTTAAGTTAACATCAGAGGTAGGACTGGCTAATGTCCAATTCAAGGAGGAGTTTTGGCATGAACAATTATGAAGCTTTAATCACATATTTGGAGGACACCGGAAAGTTACCTCACACTAGGAAATTACTTATAAAAATTTAAAAAATGTCCAGTATTTGAAAGTGACAATATCTGGAATCCTTGTCAATTATACGTGGATTCAAGGAAAGGATAAAGATGGTTTGATCCTGGAGATTGTTGGTAGAGGTTCATAATCATTTGACCAAAATCCTGTGGATGAGAATTTTTCTGGAAATCTAGAAGTTTTGGCATCTTAGAAAAGTAATGTGCTGCATACATAATGCCACTGTAATCTACACATTAGTTTCACAGAACTGTTAAATAAAGGATCAAAGGTATATACTGCCTCTCTTAACATGACATCTTGTTCCCAAATAAGTCATTACAAATTTTCAGTTTTCAGGGTTTTTTTGTTTTTTGGTTTTTTTTTTTGCAATTTGTAATTATTGATAAGGGACTGTGAACCTCCTTTACTTACTTAGAATAGTCCAAAGTCTATAGGTTCATAATCTTTGGCAATAAAAGTATGCATCCATCTCATATACACATTTCTGTAATGTTGATTATTTAGTGGCAGAAATCAAGGGGACGATATTAAACTTTATTTTCAGGACCAAATTCTCATGCAGAACATCATATTAAACCCAGATCTTCCTCATGTTTGATAGAGGCTATGAGGATTCCATTGCAATGGAGTTATTAATTTCATGTTTGTTGATTTTGAGAGGGGAGAGAAAGAGAATCCCAAGCAGGTTCTGTGCGGATAGCACAGAGCCTGACCTGGGGCTCAATCTCATCAACTGTGAGATCATGACCTGAGCTGAAATCGAGTTGGATGCTGTGCCCCAATTTCATGCTTTTCTATTCCTAATCTAGCTGTAACTGTAAACAAGCCCCAATGGCTACTGTGAACATTCCGTTTACAAAAGTTGAGATTAACAAGGATACAGGTTCAGATTAATGGGATATCCCAACAGTGTGGCTTAGATTCAGAATTTTAGATGAAGAAAATGTTAGAGTAGTAAAAGTTGTAAATTGTTATTTACCCAAACATGCTAAATTATGTGAAAAACACCAAGATTTTTTTATTTAGGAAGCTCCTCATAATGTACAAATAATATACATCTAAATCTAAGGTGCTGGGTGTTCACTGTAAAATTCTTAAGTTTGCTCTATGTTGGCAAAGCTTCATAATAAAATGAAAAGAGAAGCATTACAAAGAAACGTACAGACTTTGTAAATTCACTTTTTTCAAAAAACATTAAAACTTAAAATGCCAGATAGGACTTACCTTCCATAGTAAAAACACTAAGAGGGCAAGCATCAAAATCCCAGCAAGTATAGCCACTAGGATGATCCACCAAGGTACTCCTGAATATTGAGCTACAGTCTTTGAGGGAAACACAGTCACACGAACCTATGGGGCAAAAAGCAAGCACCACTGTGTAAATGAGGTTCATGGTTCTAATTCAGTTCCAGACACATTTTGAACAATCCAGCCTAATGAGATGCCTTTTGATATGAGATCTTTTCCCAGAACCTGGAAAATCCAAGACTGTGTTTTGACAGAGTATTGTTTTGCTAACTCCTCTTTTTAAAACCTTTGTATTGAATCGAAGTAGAGAAAATTGTATAATAAACCATTTATTCATCACCAAATTTCAACAATCATCAATACACAGCCAATCTTGTTTCATCTGATTAATCTGATATCTTTTTGAGAATGATCACCTTCTCTTTTCATCTCTGTAATGGAAATAGAAGGGTTCAAATGGCTAATATAGGCCATAACTAGCCTGTATTCCTCAGATTTTAAAATTTATTATTTTTTAAAAATTTACATCCAAGTTAGTTAGCATATAGTGCAACAATGATTTCGGGAGTAAATTCTTTAATGCCTCTTACCCATTTAGCCTCAGATTTTTTAAAAATGTTTTTATTTATTTTGAGAGAGCAGAAGAAGGACAGAGAGGAGGAGAGAGAAAGAAAAGCCTGTTGTGGGGCTTGAGCTCACAAACCTTGAGATCATGACCTGAGCCAAAATAGAGTTGGACAATTAAGTGGCTGAGCCATCCAGGCACCCCATTCCTCACTCAGATTTTAAAGATGATGTGAAATATGAAAATAGGGATGGAGCTGCATTGCTGATACCCGTTTAACTTTTCCTTAGGATGTCCAACTAAGGACCCTAATACACAGTAAGATTTCCTGAAATGGCCTCGTGCGTATGTTCTATGACAATATATTTGTAAGCCCTGGATTTGTTCAGAGGTGGCTCAGAGCTGTAAGCTGCAGCTGATGAGAGGCCTAAACGCTAACCATTTGCTAGCTGGCAAATACCAAGTAAACAGATATAGTGTCTATTCAGAAATCTAAGAAGATGCTCATGGCAATTTGCAACAACTTGGTTATGTGTGTTTAGGATGCAGGTGGACTTCTGTGAACCCAGGAGACTATTTTTCCAAGCACGTAAAAGACCTGGTGATTGCTACAAACAGGATTTTGTAAACAGGTTAGCTTCATTTCTGATATTTCTGAATTAAGAGAATGTAAAGTGAAGTGTAAAGAAAAAGTGTGAGTTTCGCTTCAGAGAAGTGTTTTTAGTCAAGTACTCCGTATTAGTATCGAGCTCCTGATGCTGCCTCAAAGTGCTTCTGTCTGTCTATATTGTGCTTCCATACTGATGTGATTCTCTTTTGAAAAGAAAACCTCTTCACTAAAATACTTCTCTTTCTATTTATGCTAGAAAACAGCTTCTCAACCTCATTTATAGAATAAACTTTAAAGCAAAACAACTGCATTTCTTTGAACATTTAAGAGGAAAGACATCTGTTTTCAGCCTGTTACACCAACTCTAACACCTCTATCAGCTACTGTGCTTCCTGTTATGCTCTCCTTGAGGTTTCTCTCAAACTGCCAGCCAGCTGTGGGGGTGGGGGAGCCCCTTTGTTCACTTCCCCCTGCCTCCCTTCCCCACTGGGACAGGCATCCTAGCTGTAAGCTAAACAACCCTCTGATTACTGGTCTAACACAGGAGTATCCATTTAGTGGGAAGAAAGAAAGGTGAGAGACCAGTGATGAAATAGTGTACTTGACAGGACTGGTAAGCCCGCCTACTCTAAACCAAAACAACAAGAAATTAATTAGCCTATACTGTATTTCATTTAACTTTGCTTCCCAATCTAGCATAGGGAAGGCATACGGTACTTGCGGGCCAGATGACAACCTGGAAGGGCCATCCTCATTTTTAAGAATAAGTTCTGAAAAACCTGGACGTGTAGAGTGGTCCACGGCAGGGGACTCAGCCTAACAAGTACCTTCATACCTGTGTACCAGAGCGCCTTTTAAATGGCTGATAATAGGGGAAAATACTCCTATAAATGGCAGCAAGCCAATAACCGTATAAGAGCTGAACAAGGTAATTTTTGATCTGGTGGGGGCAGAGTGTACATCCCGCTGGGAGGTCGAGCCCCAAGTCTGACTACCATTCAAACCAGATTTTGGAGCCTTTCAGAAACTGAAACAACTCAGCCTCAAAGACTGAAGACTGAAGCCAGAGGCAGGGCTACACTTTTAAGGGGAAGATGTGCTCTGCAAACCCAGGCTATGCGTAAGGCCACACTGCAGGCCAGAAGGTGAGAGAGGTGAGTCAGCAAGATTTTGTTGCTTCTGTAAACTGTCACCTAAAGTTTGTTTTGTTTTTGTAAGGCAGTCATTCTCCAGCTGGGACTGGGAATCAAGGCGGAGCTGGCCTCAGAACTGGGGAAGGGGAGACCAGCCGTGAGCTGTGACCCCCAGAGCTCTGGGAAGCCTGGTCACATCTTCCATGGCAGCTGTTATTGATGGACAGTGACAGGTTAAGGGGAGTATAAATTACTCCAACTCCGAAGACATTTGGGGGAGGGGGGTTTCTTTAAAATCTAGGCATTGGCACATTTCATATATGCATGTGAAAATGAGGCATGAGCTCTGCTGACGCATTAAATTCCATCACGAGGAGCAGTGCTTAGACCTCATTCACCTGCTCACTGCCCGAATGGTTCCCCTGAATCACTCAGTAGTACCCTCTATTCTTAGAACATCAATGTAGAAACTCACCACACGAAGGGATTTTCATATCTTTCACAAAACTATTAAAGACATCATCCCTTCGTGAGTGTTCCTCATGTCAGAAACCTATCTTGTAAAAGGATCCACATCTCATTCTCTGAATTTAGAGCCAGAAGAGGAAAATGATATTCCCCTTGAAGAATGATGCGCCTTTTACCTAATTTTGGCAGCAAGGAAGCAGATACTTTTTTCCAGCTTCCTTAAGAATGAAGTGGGGTATATATAAATACAACCAATTAATCTCTTCCTTCCTTGGCTTAATTCAACAATTTTTCCTGGTTCACAGTCCCCTAGACCATGAAACTCATAACAGTCAACACTGTATCGTATTTATACAACTTTGTTCTGTACCATTTGGGCAGGGAAGGCACATAGTGTGTGCACAGTAAGTACTTGTTAACTGGATGGATTTAATTGATGCTAAAATGTAACCATTTTATCTGGTTCAATTAGGTGACCAGCTCTCGGACTTTGTTTTAGTCATGTGTTAAAATGTATTGAGAAGCAAACACAACACTCTTAAAACTGGCTGGGTTACAAGGAAACTAAATTTAGGTGAGGTGTTTTTTTTTTTCTTCCTTTTTAAAGCCAGGATTAGAGGGAAAGCAAGAAGTTTTAATATGAAGACCAAAAGACAAGACTGAATTACTCAACCTCCTTTGCTTCCAACTCCAAAGAAAAATGATCTTCAGGCTGGAAAGGACAGCTGGACTAAGATAAAGACGAACTGAAACCCACAATAAGTGAGGGAATAAAAGAGAAAGGCATGCTGACACTTGAATTTATCTCAAATCTTTAGGCTCAGAAAAAGTATGCCTCAAAAACACTAAAGAAACATGTAGACAGGATATCTGAGCTGCTGTATCTCAGAAATCAGAGTCAATAGAAGAGGCACCAGAAGACTAGACATAAGAAAAAGTCCCCATTTTCAAAAGAAATGCAAATGGATACAAGGCAATAATCCATTCATAAATCCACCCATTATTAAAGAAACCAAGGCGCATCATAGCAGACTCCAAGCCCCATTCGCGTGCATGAGTTCTCCAGGCCCTAACATGAACTGCCCAAGAGAACCTCGCTTTCATTTGTGACCCAACCACCGGACTGGGGTACCAGCACGCTAGTTCCACACACCTTCCCGAAAACAAGCGCATTTGATGAGGGGCTGTGAGCCCAAGGTCTAGTCTCACCTCACGTGGCAGTCCTGTGACCCTGAGGGAGAGGCAACCTTCCCTGGATTGTTTTCTCATGGGAATTTGACATCTGGGGACTTAATAGAGAGTCAAAGACTAGGAGTCCTGAAACCAGAGAGTTACGGGTTTCAGTTCAGGACCCCAGCTGGCAGCCCCTCTGTGCCTGCTTCCTTTTCGGTAAAATGAGTAAGTCTACCTTGTCATTCTTCTGAGGTTTAAATAACTGCACATAGGTAAAACGTCTAGTAAATCATAGACATTTTATTAATGCTTTATAATGTTTGTCCATTCCCTTTAAAGGGAATTGTTCTTTTCCCAGCTCTAAAAACTCAGTAATTCTCAGGGTTACTGGGTTGTTGGGTTTGTTTTTTTTTAAGTGTTTATTTACTTTGAGAAGTGCACAGGAGCAGAGGAGGGGCAGAGAGAGAGAATTCCAAGCAGTCTCTGCACTGTAAGCACAGTGCCCAATGCAGGACTCAAACTCACAAACCAGCAGATCGTGACCTGAGCCTACGCCAAGAGCCAGATGCTTAACCGACTGAGCCACTCAGGTGCCCCTCAGGGTTACTGATTTAAAGTTTTAAGCAAGCTATCACAGCGGCCTCCAGTCAGAGAGGGTAGAGAAAGCCTTCTCAGAAAGGTTATGGCTACAGTGATAGTCCTCTATGATGCCTTATTGATAAGAGGCAGAAAGGTGGGCTAGAGTAGCATGCAAAGGTAATCTAAGGCCAGGGTGACGTTATGTCCTCCTGAGCCTAGGATGGTCCTAATTTATCCCTGGTCCCAGCATCCTGCCCAGTTTAGCATTTGCCCCAGACAAATGTCTTCTAGTTTGGATGATGAGTTTTAACAGCTAAGGATCGTTCAGAAACCAGTGCTTAGGAGAGCTCACTGCTTCCTCAAAGGACTAAAGCCAAAACACCTCTATAGGCACATTAGTAGATCCGCTTAGGAACAGTAAGTCACAATTTTTTCTCTAGTCAGTTTCTTTTGTAAAACATCCTGGTCCATGACTTGCAGTCACTGTATCTTGAGAACATGATAGAAGGCCCTGTGGGCTACAGACACCCACGAGGGGCCCTTTCCAGTGTGCCCCCAGAGCCACCGCTTGCAGCCCTGTTCAGCATTTTTCTCAATTCTCTGGATGAATGAAGCTAGAGAAGGCACGCCGCTCAACTTTGCAAAAGATAAAACTCTGCAGGCACAGAAAGCTAACAGGGCAAAGGATCAAGACTCAGAACTACTCTGTGAACTGAAACGACAGCCCACAAGCAAATCTTATAAAATGCAAGGATATGTGTAAAGGCACGCATTTCAGGGCACCTGGATGGCTCAGTCGGTTAAGCTTCTGACTTTAGCTTAGGTCATGATCTTGCAACTTGGTAGGTTCGAGCTCCATATTCGGCTCTGTGCGGACAGCTCAGAGCCTGCAGCCCATTTCAGATTCTGTGTCTCCCTGCCTTTAACCCACTCATACTCTGTCTCTCAAAAATAAATAAACGTCAAAAAAAAAAAAAAAAGTTAAAAGGCATGCATTTAGATTTTTAAAAATTGCTCAAGGATGGGATATGGGAGTTATAGCTTGACAGCGCATTCTTTTGAAAACACTGGAGTTTCAGCAGAACACAGACAGCGGCCGCTAGGAGTACAAACACAATCTCCCATGTACACTGCAAATCAAGTTTTAGGCTGACCGACAGAAATGTGGGGCCGAGCTGTCTGGAGTTCAGGGCCTCAGGGTGAGGCGAACTAGGTAGGTGGCCGTCCGTGCTCCGCCCACGTGGGAGTCACGCTCCAACCAGCGCCAGCCCAGGACGGAGAGGGCCTGGAGAGGGCCTGGCATGACAGGTAACTGGAGAGGGGGAGGCTTCGCTCTGAACAGAAGGAAAGGCATGTCCAAGGGGCATCCCCATTTCCTTCCCTTATTCCCAAGGCTGCTACGTGGCTGAGAGAGAGGGCGCATTTGGGGCTTGTTCCAAGGTGCATAACCGGGGACTGATTTTATAAGACTCACCTCTGGATTCACATGTAAAGAGATCTTTTCTAAGAATGGCAGCTGGCCACACATGCCATGAGCTGCTCCATAAAGTGCAGTGACGCTCCCAGCAATGACTACGGCCTCAGGGACAGCCTGAGACTTGGGGTTTCTAGAGAGGTGGACGGCGCCCGCGTTCCTTCAGTGGGCTGAGAGCTCTCAAATCTGCCCCATGCACTGCAGAACTAGATGCCCCCAGATGTGCTTCTTTTTCCAATGATTCTATTAAGATACAGCTTGGGGTGGCAGCACCTTAAAGCATCATCTGATTTGGGAGTCGCGGGGCTGTGAGGGAAAGGAATGCCACAGTAGCATGTCCTTGGGCTGGGGCACGGGGCAGAGACAGAGTGATTTGCCCTGAACTCAAGGAAGACGGGGGAACCTCTCACCTGAGTGCCCGCGTGTGGCAGCTTGATATTCTCAGCGGCATCGGCTACGTCAATGGAAGCCCGCACGAGAATGTCCAGGTAGTTCATTTTGGAATATTCCTGTTTGGAGACAAAGTCAGCAAATGCATTAAGGAAGTGAGCGATGCCATAAGAAACAGCAAATGACTTGCAGGGGACAGCCAGCCTCGCGGCGGGGCCAAACCTCTAGAAACGTGCCGTTCCATAACCTCGAGCGGAGGACAACAGAGGCCTTGCTGTCCAGCCCTCGCAGGGGACAGCTTATGTTCACGCAGTTCACGTTCGTGCTGCAGTTCTGGGGGGAGCAAGAGAGTGGCAGTTAAAATCCTAGGGTACGGGGAAGACCTTCCTGCCACCATCTGCCAAACAGTTCCGGCTCCTGAAAAGTACTTACAAGGGTCTGATATTTTCTTTCAGCAAATAAAGAAAATTTTCTGCTATCATCTGTCTGTTTTTCAGCAATTTCCCGTTTCCTTCTCGAGTTGTGAGACTCCTGAAAAGAAATTAGATCCAAACTAGTTCTACTTAATGTCATTCTTTGTTCCTAGTATACAAACCCTTGAGCACTCCCTCCCACATAACGCCAAATTCACGTAATCGGCAATTAACATCCGCCCATCTCCCGTCCCCAAAGGCACAGAAATAATTTAAGTGTAAAATCCAAAAATGTTCCCATCTCATTGCAAGTTTATTGACTAAGGTCATTTATTCCCACTCTGACTTCAAAACTCAGGCAAACAGAAAGAGGCTTTCTTTGTTCAGTCTCCTCACCAAACAGAGTACCCTGAGTTCAGGCGTCAGATCTCATTGCTGTATCTTTAGCACCCAGCTCAGTAACTAATGTATGGTAAAAAAAAAAATCAGCACATCTTGAATAAACATATGACACTGAAGAATAAGGAAAAAAGCAAAAGAAGTAGTATGTGACTTATTCAAAGTAGATTACTGAAAAGTAAGCCATTTAGGAATTCTGTTTCAAAACAGCATTTTCCTTAAGATAGGATTAAGAGTAATAGACCATCTTGGGGTTTAATTTTTAACTTTTATTTTAGAGAGAGAACGAAAGCTGGGGAGAGGGCAGAGAGGGTGGGAGAGGGGAAATCTTAGGCAGGCTCCATGCTCAGCACAGAGCCTGACATGGGGCTCTGTCTCACAACCCTGGGATCATGATCTGGGCCAAAATCAAGAGTGGGATGCTCAACCAACTGAACCACCCAGGCGCCCCTCGACCATCTTGTATTTCAAAGTTGATGAACACAGGATCCTTCTATATCTGCCAACTGTCAATACTAGTCATACCTGAGTCACTTTACAACTTAAAAGAAACAGATACGCAATAAGAAAGCAGATTCTCAAACTGGAGCATAAAGGATAACCCAGTATGTCAACAGTACTGAGCAGTTAAGAGCACAGGCTCTGAAAACAGGCAGAGCTGAGTTGAATGCAGAATCTTCCTCTTAACTGCAGAGTAATTCTTAAAACCTTAATCTCTCTGTACCTCAGTTTCCTCATCTGTGAAATGGTAGGGATAAGAAAAATACCTTAAAGGACTATTAAGAGAATGAAATGAGAAAAAGCAAATCAAATGCTTAATAGCACAGTGTCTGAAACACAATACTTGGTAAGGATTTATTATTTTAAAAAATAACGAAAGCTTTGAAGGGCACTTGCTAAGGTGCCAATATCCTTTGTAATGAGTTTGGTTCTGCTGGGAGTTAACGCTGGCTGCCTAACCCCCAGAAGCTAATCCTAGTCCTCTTTATAGGTCACACCAGGCCATAAAACTCCAGAAAATGTCATTTCCTTCAACAAGCGCTGAATGACGCTGCCCTAACATCACTAATCAGCAGAAATCCTCAGCCTGACTTGGATACTCAACTATAAAAAAGAAACTGACACCAAAGAAAAAGTCAACATGCCACTATGCCAGTTTCCTAAGGAAAGAAATGATTTTCCCATCAAAGGTTCGCCTCCCTTATTTACATCGATGGAGACGAGAGATCAATCCATCAACATACCTTTAGTTTCAGGAAGTTTATTTCATGTTGCGGCTCACAAGCTATCTTTTCCAGTCCTTTGGATTCTACTTTCACCAAATAAAGCAACCATTTGCCATTGCTAATTTCTTTTGGCCACTGGATATTCAAGGTTGCTGTGCCGAGGTTTTTAAGAGGTTTACCCAAGTTAATTACCTGTTAGAAAATAATACATATTATATCTCAGTGTAATTCTATCAACATAAAATTAAGTCGCAGCTCCTGTTGCCAAGTGGGAAAAAAGGCCACGATACCTGGCAAAATCCTACAATGCAAGTATAGGCTCCAAAAACTGGACTACCGATATGGTGTCCAACACAGAGACGGATGGGAAAAAGAGAAATGACTGCTCATTCCGTCCAGGAACTAGTGTGTGCAACAACATCGGTGGTGAAGCCACGCCACACTGTCAATACACTCCCGGAAAGTCACCAATAACCTGCTTCTAGGAAGCCCCTCCCACTGCAAAAATGAAGCAGCCTCTGTCCTCTACTACCCAGGGGAGGCCTGGGTAGCAACGCAGAGTCTGAGTAAAGCCATTATGACAGCCATGAATCAGGAGTCCAAGCTGGGGACACAGCAACTTCCTGCAGCAGAAGCTGAAGGAGGCGTGAGCTCTCTTTGTTTGTGTGTGGGGACAGCTGCGGAGCCCAGAGATGCTGCTCTCAGCTACCGCCACCACCTGTCACAGCTGTGTCTATAATGCTGAGACACACAGAGCAGAATTCAACCCCTTCATCCTGCTGGGGACAGGGCTGGGCACATTCTTGCCATCGCAGACCCAAACCCACGGATGAGTTACGAGCCATCTCTGTACCACGCATTTCCATTCATCTAACTGGACTTAGAGGCGCACTGTGATTCCTATTTTGAAATTCTTCAGAGCAATCATTAGCTCTCCCTACTGGCACTGGGCTTGTGAAACATGAGGGGACGTTAACCACATGCAGTATGAAAGATGTCCTTACGGTGGAGGAAGAAATGAATCCTAACACATTCTAAAGCCAGATAATGAAGCACTTTGAGATCTTCATTTTACAGACAGACTCTGGGGAGGGGCGAGATGTCCTTGGTCTCTGCACCACTTAACACATTAAAACTCTCTAATAAGAAAATGGCCAAACTGAACTGGATTTTGAACAAAGTCCTATGTTGAATGACGGCTGTGTTCCCCATTCTAGAGGATGAAACTTTTACTGTAAGCCAGTCTGTTGCTTAAAAATTGGTGAACTCACCTTTAACTGAGTGTTTATCACGCTTACTTATTAATATTTCTTAATACTGATATTACACACTAAAATCCATATCCACATTTATTAAAATTACATTGCATCACGTATGTGTATATAGTTCACATTAGCTTTGAGTGTATATAATACAAAAGACCAACTGCTTCAACTCACCCTGAATTCATACTCTATTAAACTTCCCACCTCCTCTTCAGATTTCATAGCTTGCTCACCGACAACTCTTCCTCCAAAGTACACCTGGGAAGGTTTAGCAACTCTGTTCAATTAAAAAATACCAGTTTTAGCAGGATGGTAAATGGTTCTTTTAAACACTGATTTGTTATGCTAAACACAAACACTTACCCAGAGACCGATAAAAGCAGTTCAATAACCACTTTTGCTGTAGCTGTAATTGAAGCCAAATTATCTTGATTGCTTGTTCTGAAAATGAAAAGGAAACAATAGGGTTTCATTTTAACCATCAGTTTTCTCATTACAATTACACTTCTTTTAGGAGTTAGAGCAGAGCTGGCTCATTGACTGGCTGTGTTTTCACGAAATAATTCTGAATGGAAAGCCTGACGAAACGCTTACGTTTCCAGCTTCAGATTAATATCCAGATCCGTGGTGTCAAAGGTGACCTCCGTCGTACTTAAGATTAAGTAAAAAGTAACCTGAAAAATAGAAACAGACGTTACCAGAGACCAAGCGTGTCAACCCTGTAATGGCACATGAAACAGTACAATACAGTATGTGAAGGCATCACCTACACTTGAATTTCTTTTAAAAGGATTTCCAAGCTCACAGTCCGCTTGTGAGCCGTTCTGATTGGCAACACAACTCAGCTGCTTCTCCTGTAACAGAAAAACACTAGATCACAATGCGTTCACTCGCCACACAGTGCTGGGCTTTTCCTCCTCGCTGCTGTCCAAAAACACTTACAGGGAAAGCCCTCAGTTCTCTGTATGCCGAGTAAGTCAGAGTGTCCGGAAAAGTTGCAATGAGTTTCGCTTCATGAGCGTCATCGCCGTCTTTTGTGGGGTTTCTTGGATTGGAAGGGCTGTTCGTCACTGTGATTTCTAAAGCAATGTCCTTCTGGTCTTTTAGAACTAGTTCTGGAACACCTTTTCGGCTATTAAAAAAATGTAAAAAAAAAAGAAAAAACACAAAAAACAAGAAAAATGACAGAGTCCTCAGTACATTTTCACAACCCACTGCAAAGCCAGTCATTTCTGCTAGGATGACAGAGCGATTCTTACATTGGTAAATAAGAAAATTTGTCTTGATTTCCTTCCCGGGTGCAAAATTTATATTCTAGTTTAAGGTTGCTGTTACATATATTGTCGTTTCCACATCCCTCTTTTAAGAAGTGCACCTGCAGGAAAACAAAACCATTGTAATTTATGCCATTTAAGACCCTCAACAGTGACTGGCTGTTTCCACACAGTTCTTTCCTTGGGCGACAGTTACCACAGCAGAAGTGGTATGGATACCATGCATCCAACGACCCCTCTGTCCTTTAACAGAACTGTGCTCTAAGAATACTTTGACCATGGCTCTGAGGTGGTAGAGGGGGAGGGAAGAGATGGGCATGGAGGAGGGCACTTGTGGGGATGAGCACTGGGTGTTATATGGAAACCAACTTGACAATAAACTATTTGTAAAAAAAAAAAAAAAAAAGAGCATGAGCCCTGCAGCCACACAGGCCCATGTTCAATCCTGGCTCTGCCACTCACTCAGCCAGGTGGCTTCAGGCAAGTCACTTAACCTTTCAGAGACTCAGTTTCATCTTAAGTAATATGGGGATACCACCACCCTACTTGATAGGGATACTGTAAGAATTACCAACAATAATGGTGATGCAAACACATGATTACGTATTTTAACTCACTTACTCCTCACAACAGACTTATGAGAATATTATTATGAGCTCCACTGTACAAATGAGGAAACAGTTTAGTCAGGAAAGCAAATGGCACAGTGCTAATGGGGGCTTAAGAACCACACTGATCAACAGTTAGGCAAACAGCCTCCCTGCCTGTTATATTACAGGACTACAGAGCTAGGAATAGACATAGGAAATATTCGTGTGATAGTAATCTCCAAAGTCTATGAAAAAGTATATGAGAGTATACGGAGCTACGCTTTGTGACAATAAAGACTGACAACATATATAGTGAAGCAAGTCTCACTGCCGGAAGGCCTCATCAGTGGGCCACCAGGACCAAGAGCCTCCAAGTGGATGCTCCAACCGGAGTTGACAGCAAGTGTACAACGTCAGACCAAGAGGCCACACGTCCCCAGCCTAACTGTGTGTCTCTACTACCCTAAACCCTGACCAATAGACCCCACCTTGTATAGGCATACGGCAAGCCACATGAATTCTTCTTCCCTAGATTGCATAGGCTACATTAGCTGCTAGATGCCTATTTTCGGGCTAATCCTTTTCTGCCTTACTGAAGTTTTATATTCCTTGACTTTTTTTAAAGTTTATTTATTTTAAGAGAGAGAGGGTGCGTGCGCGCTCACACACACACACACCCTTGGGGGGAGGGTCAGAGACCAAGAATCCCAAGCAGGCTTAGCAGTGCAGAGCCCAATGCAGGGCCCGAACCCATGAACATGAGATCATGACTTCAATTTTGGAAACCAAGAGTCAGACGCTTAACCAAGTGAGCCACCCAGGTGCCCCTATAGTCCTTGATTTTAATGTTCACTAACAAGTTTGTTTTCTACATTTTAATATTCTCAGAGGTAAAAATGCAATGTATTTTTCTTTGTACATATGGCTATAAGAGAAACTTCAAGTGAGAGTAAGTTCTGCCAATTACAGTCTCAACTGCAGTGGCCAAAAATTGTTCAGAACAATACTCTCTGGTTCCAAACTGTATTCCATATGTTTCTATCTTCACTATTCATTTGGGAAAACAAATTGCAACCAAACTTTGCATATATTAAAAAGCTTTACTTAATACGAAGGAATGGACTTTAAAGCAAATCACTAGTCATACTGCCTTCAAAGACGTGTGATGTAGTGTAATAATACGGCAAAAGCTTTGGCCATACAAAAGTCAGAAAGACTTACATCTCTATGGACTGTCTTGGGTTCGTTTGAATTCAGAATTGGAAGAATTTCTGGAAGCGAATTCACTCTCCTCCGTGTGGTTGGCTCCTGGATCTCTACTGAAGCAGTTACAGGAATGGGGCGCAGTTTATCTCTGATATTTTCCTGAAAAGTATGCAGTTAAGCATGGTATCAATGCTACTGGCCAAACAATGCTTTTTTTTTTTTTAAAGAGTTATTTTTGAGAGAGAGAGAGAGAGAGCGCATGAGGGAGAGGGGCAGAAAGAGAGGGAGACACAGAATCTGAAGCAGCTCCAGGCTCTGAGCTGTCAGCACAGAGCCCAACGCAGAGCTTGAACTCATGAACCAGAAGATCATGACCTGAGCCAAAGTCGGATGCTCAACCGACTGAGCCCCGCAATGCTTTCTTTTGTACAGAATAAGAAGTTGCTGGTATAAATTTCAGAAATGTACACATGCCACCGTAAAACCCAACTTCTGTCCCAACAACAGACGTGACCGTCTGCGCGCCTCACCTGCAGCCAGAGGGTCTCCTCCATGCACGCCTTCTGCTTCTGCCTGTTCAGAGTTAGCTGTTGACTATACTTAGGCTCAGAACCTTGGTTTCGAAACTGAACTCTTGAGGACAGCCCAGATTTTCTTCTCTCCTTTTCTGCCTCAAGCGTACCCAAAATGGCTACATAAAATGAACAAAATCATATGAACTTTAAGTGCATCCGTGTACAGTTCAGACAGAAGTACAGTGAGTTCCTTTTGACATTATTTTAATTCCCTGTAGAGGGATACTTTTCCCATTGCTCTTGCTCTTCTTCATACTTCCTGGTAATGTACATTTTGACTGATTTATGGGAATTCAAATCAAGCTGTTCTTTCCTGCCCACTGCTGTTAACAGTTTATTTGAAGTAAAATTTCCATTGGGCCACCTGGGGGAGCTCGAGACTAAGTCAAAACCTCTGAGCAGCATCCAAGGATTTCTGGCTAAATGTCAAGAACCGACAGAGAACTAAAAATAATGGGGGACCCAACACTCCCTAAAGGCCTACACTGACTCCCATTCAGCAGTCTGTTGCCCACTGTGGCCCCACATCTACTATCAAAAAAAGGTCTCTGAACTAGCATCTCCTCAGGTCTGTTGGGAATTCAGAACCTCAAGCCCCAGCCAGACCTATTTAACCAGAATCTGCATTTTAACAGGACCATCAGGTGGTTCTTATACACGTTAAAGTTTAAAAAGCACTGATAAAGGATAGTTGTCTAAAAAGGGAATAACCTCTATTGGAGAAGTCTTGACAACAGGAGACTTTTCACTTAAAAGAATTAAAAGGTTAATCACATTCCTTTGAGAAGCTAGAGGGCCCATCTGTCAGCTACTGTATCTCCCATAGCCAAAGTTTCCAACCTCCAAGAGGGCACCAATCCTGCTCCCAATCACCTGTACCAATGGGGCTCCAAGGACAAGCCAGGAGTTGGATGATCAGAATCTCATTTCTTGACCTCAGAATGCATCCTCTGCTGATTTGCCCACTGTAGCTACTATGTTTCTTTACGGGACAGTATTTAAACGACTTATATTATTCATTAATCACCCACTAACCATCAGAAGGGGAAGGAAATCAAAGTGTGTACAGGGCCACAGAAGGAAGGCAGCCTCGAGGGACAGACAAGCAAACAAACTTCTCCAGAAAACACAGAAAATGAACTACCCATGTTCTAATATTCATGCTGGAGTTCATAAAAGGCCTCAAGGAGCATCTATTTTAATACCGTTGTCCTGCAAATGAAGAAATAGAGGCCCACAGATGTAGGGGACTGGCCCAGGATCATACAGTGAGGGACCGAGGCAGCTCCAGCTGTCTCTGTCACCAGCATACCAGACAACTGCTTTGGGAAGGCTTCTCACATGTGCAGGTGCCCACTTCTTCTGGACCTCTGCTTCTGTCACTCTCTTCTGCCAGGTGGACCCCGTCCCTCTCCACCTTGCCCTGACTGCCTAGCTAACCCTACTCCTCCTTCAGATCTCAGTGCGGGCATAACCTACTTCAGGAAGACTTTCCCAGCCTCTCCTGGGGGATCTGACAGTATTCTATTTCCCCAGTCACTGCACTTAGCCACCATGCTGTGATCGCCTGACCATCTTCCCCAGGCAAAGGCACGGACAGTGACTGAATCAGTCTGTCCACCACTGTGTTCCCCTGGTATAAATACGATTTTTAGAACAGATAGATGAATGGAAGTAGGAGTGACTGGCACAGCAACATGCACACCGATGCACACACAGACACGCAAACGACATGATGTTATTCTTATGCTGAAACAATAGTCAGATGTGCAAGACCAAAATTTAGAAACACTGACAGTTTCACTAGTAATTTCTGCCAAATGGAATGCGCCTCCATTTTAGCCTTGTAGACTTGACATCATCCATTTATTAATGACCTGTTAACTTCACACTGAACCAGACGAAGGATCACATGCTGAGTGCCCCTCGCAGCACAAGTAGGGGAGGGTGTGGGTACATTAAAACCGTTTATCTACCAGGCCCAGTCTAACCTTCCCTAACCCTCCAGACAGTTCACATCATCTTAAAATCCTCGAAGGCCACCTTTACTGACCTTCTGAGGGGCAAGCCAAGTAGAATACTCAATAAGGCTCAATTATAAATATCTGTATGTGTGGAACACCGCATCTGAGGACTACCAACTTACAATAGTCTGATCAAACAATAAGCTCACATTCTCAGACACTGGGAACAGATGTGAGATATATTAACTCATACAGCTTTGTGGAAGTTCTACTTGATTTAGAATTTCCCAATACCATGGAAGTATAGGCAAAGAAGAAAATGTCTTCACAGAAAAAAGCTCTATCCATAATAAGCCATTGGTAAACACTTGGCTAGTGGAGTTGTTCATAAACACTCGGTTAATGGAGTAGTTACTGAATATGAATTTCATACACAGGGCATCAAATGCTGTATGAGAGCTGGAACGAAGTTTGTTAATTGTATGGAAATGATTGATGCGGGGTGGGATAGGGGGCAGGGAGTTCTGGAGGAGGTTTCACATCTGGTGTGGGAAAAAGACTGACTGACATAGACGTCTCCCTGTTTCCTCTTCTCATCTAGTCTGAGCATCGCAATTTCTCCTGGTCTCTCTAATCTACTGCAAACACTGAGGTAAAACGCCCATTATCCAAACAGGCAAATGTGAGGTACTGCATTTGCATAAAAATAACACAAACGATACTGAGAAACCCTACATGTTTTCTTTTCAGTGGACGCCACACAGAGAATCATTTTCAGTACTGAATAAAACACCAGCCACATCGAAAGGCAAAGTGCACAGGCCATGACACAGTCACGCCAAGCACGCTTCAGGCAAGGTCTGCAGATCCCAGCCCGAGAGGCTACGGCAGATGGCCCAGGCCCAGCAGAGGGGCCTAAAGAGATCAGGAAGGTAAAGAAACTGCCTGCAGATGGCTTAAAATATGGAGAGATGGAGGCTTAACATACGAAAAGTGGGCCTATGATGATATGATCTGGGTGGAGACAAGCATATTTGCCAAATTCTGGGATAATAAAAGGGATATCTTGTTAATAGAGAAAGAGACTAATACTTTAGACAACAAGGAGGAAACTTAAGAAAGCTCATTACCTTAAGGTAAAGTAAAAACCCAATGCCACCCTGTCCGTCCGGAAAGCTTCTGCTGGGGCACACTACGCCCTCACAGCAGGCCTCCGGTACTCCCACCCGACCCTCATTCTTTGCACTTGCTCTTTGGGGAAGAGCTTTTCTTTAAATTCCCATCCCCCATCTTCCCTCTGGATCTGGAGCGGGTGGCTTATACCTGATAATGCATGGCTGTTACGAAAACACAGCACAGAAGGCTGTGGTGACGAGCATTCCTGTTAGAGACCATTAGCCTTGTCTAACCCTGGGGCAGACACTTTGGACCGTAGGGAAAGGGAGCAGAATAATACCTTATAAAAGACAAACAGCTTCCGCCACAGTATCTCCTTTGCTCTCACCACAATCCTCGGTAGTAATTCTATTACAGGCATTTTTATTTACTGATAGGAAAACGCAGACTCAAATGCGAAGAGACTTGCTCTGTGCGGCAGGGTCAGCCAGCCTCGGAGCTGGAACCAGGAGCAGAGCCCAAGGCTCTGAATTCTCAAGACCAGCCTCCAGCCTCGCAAGAACCTGCACTCAGGGACACAGCGTGGGTGTTCCAGGCGGTGGAGGCCTCCGGGAGGGGACCGCGAATGAAGAGAGGCTAAGGCGGCAATTCTGTGCAATGCTCAGGCTCCGACTCTCGCTCTTCTAGAACCACCACCCACCACCTCACAACCACAAAACCAATTTTCCACATGGCTCTTCAAAGGCAGAAGTGGAGGAAACGGTTGTGGTAGCAAATGACTGCTCTCCCAAGGCATTCTGTCCTAAACCATCTGCTCTGGAAAATTCAAATGAGGACCAAATGAAGTGTTATCCCCTCCTGATTAAAGAGAAGACAACAGATACACTGAATTCCGTAAACACAAATTTATGAAGCCAGCTTGGCCACTGCAGTTTTTATTTTTCTGTTATTTATGCAGAACTTGCAACCTGGCAGACAGAAAATGTAGAATTTTTTAATGTACTGGGTACTTACATATTGAAGGATTATAATCTGTGGGTTTGGCAGTATATTCAAAACAGGCCTTCACCTTGAGGCTGAATAAAATCAAACACATATTCCTTAAAAGATCCATTACTGCAGGAAAAAACCCATGTTCCCTAGCTGTCAAATCCCCCCACTGCCCACCAATGAGTAAAATGTTATGTATTCACCTAAGAGTCCCTGTCCCTTTGCCCATTTCTGTCTTCTCTTGCCTGTGGCTCCCTAGAGCGACAGGGTCATCATAAAGCAGGGCTGTGAAACTACGGAGATCATGGGCCCTGGACGGCTCAGTCGGTTAAGCGTCCAACTCTTGATTTTAGCTCAGGTCCTTTCTCAAAGTTCGTGAGATGGAGCCCTGAGTCAGGTTCTGCTTGGGATTCTTTCTCTCCCTTTCTCTCCGCCCCTCCCCTGCTCATGCTCACTCTTAAAATAAAGAAACTTTAAAAAAAAACCAAAAACACACAAAACACTTAAGAGGTTACATGCACACAGCCAAAGTTCTTACCATATCCCACTAGGCGCCCCACAGAATGTTTTCTGGCGGAGATCAATCGTGTTAGGTGTTATATCCAGGGTTTTCTGAATATTAATCACAGGCCGGGACCTGGAAACCAAGGAATAAAAAAACACAGGCTCAGTCTTTTGCTACCTTGAAGGGGAGATGAATTTACATACTATCAGCTGCCTACCACATCTTAAAAACCACAGGGAGGGAAGAAATGTTCCCCCACTGCCAAAGAAAGTAACAGATGCCGTTGAAAACGGATTATAAATTTTATTTAAAAATTTTAAATATAACATTTATAATTATAAAAGGTTCTATAGTTTTAACAGAGTCTTAAAATTTTTTTAATGTCTATTATTTTTAAGAGAGAGAGACAGAGAGCAAGCAGGGGAGGGACAGAGAGGGAGAGGGAGACACAGAATCTGAAGCAGGCTCCAGGCTCTGGAGGGCTCGAACTCATGAACCATGAGATCATGACCTGAGCTGAAGTTGGATGCTTAAATGACGGAGCCACCCAGGCACCCCAACAGTTTTTAAATGGAAAGTAATATGTGTAATATGTAAAAGTTCTAGAATTTTCAGGCAAATGTTAGGTTCCTATCCCCATCCACACCCCCAAGTGGCCTGGCATGTATGACCTCCGGAAACATATTTGGTCTTTGTGTTTCTGTTAAAAATATTACCTAAAATTAAATATAAAAACATACATATACTTTTCTTCAATGGGAGCTTTACATGCTTCTTGTTCTGAATGTTGCTTTTTCTCACTAACACTTCAGAGGCCTTCTCCTATCTATCCATAGATCTAGGTCATGGCTTCTCACAGCTGGCGGGATTGCTCTGTCCCCACACAACACCATTTATTTAACCAGTCCCTAATGGGTAGACATTTATGCTATTTTTAGGCTTTGGGCTCTGATAAACATCCTTGTACCTACTTTGGCACATGTTTGAATTTACCTGTAGGATAACCTCCTAGAAGAATTTCTGAGTCAAAGAATATGTGCATGTTTTTAATTTGCCAAAATATCTTCAAAAAGCTTAAAAACCCACATACACCCAACACCTGGGATGCGATCAGGGTTACCACATCTGTGGATTTTAGTATTACAGGCAATCCTTAGCTCTCATATCTCCATCTCACAAACATCTGCCCTTCCAGGCTTCCATCCCCAGCCTCAAGCCTTTGTCCTCAGGCCCCCAGAATGGATCACGACTTTTCTGCCCCAACAGTATCTCCATAAGCAGAAACTTCAAGCCCTTTGCCTTTCTCTGCTCTCCCTTAACCCCAACCTCGCAAACACCCAAAACGCTGGAATCCCACACCTTTGGTCCTTCTCACAATATAAAAACATCTTTGCTCTTCCTTCCATCTTCTCCCCCACTTCCCGTAGCCAGTAGGGTCACCACCAGCCTAGGTCCTGAGCTTTGCCACAGGTACAAGAAATCAAAGTGGATGATGGTTGGGGGTGTAAGTGGGATGGGGAGACAGACCCCTCTCATCTCCAGCACTCCTCAGCCAGAATTCAGAATGGGTTCCATGGTTTTATTACCACATGGATCCAGTTAGACTGACTTAAGCGGGCTTCTGGTAACCCAGTCATCCTGGTAAGATGTTTGATAAGCATTCCAAATCCCTTACAGCTAAGTGGAACTTCTGGACTCAGTCTACCGGTAAGCTAGAGGAAACACGAGAACATTCATGGGCAAGGTGGAAGCCTATAAAAGGACAAATGCCCACATTCTGGTTTGTAGATTTCCTTTTATCTCAATTGTTCAACTTTCTATTGTTATCTTAGACAGCTGCTAGTTTCCAAGATGCTAACTAGATATATTTCTAATTAATGTTTTGGGAGCATATTTAAGAGTCAAAAATCCACAAATATTTTATAACCAAATGCTACAGGTTCAAGAGTGTTTCACATATGATAGTATTAAGGCTTTAATGTGACATAAATATCAGAAGGAAATATTTTAACACACACTTCTGCCTAAAACATTTTTATCTTTTTAAGTTTATTTTTTAATATTTATTATTTATTTTTGAGAGAGAGAGAAAGGGACAGAGTGTGAGCAAGGTAAGGGCAAAGAAAGAGGGAGACACAGAATCTGAAGCAGGCTCCGAGCTGTCAGCACAGAGCCAGATGTGGAGTTCGAACTCACAGACTACTAGATGGTGACCTTAGCCGAAGTCTGACACTTAACTGACTGAGCCGCCCAGGCGCCCAAAATAAATGATTTTTAATGCTGATTTCCAGCAGTGAAAAGGGGGACTCAAGCAAAGCTGATGGGCAAACCGCTGCAGCCCTTCTGGAGGTCATTCTGGTGAATCTGAATCTAACGTCTGAAAACACATATGCCCTTTGACTTTTGAAATTCACTTTTAGGAATTTATCAGAAGGAAAAAATTCAGGACATAAACAAAAGTCAAGATGTTCACCTGCCTTGTGTATCATGAACAACAAACCCGGAAAGCAACATAAATATCCAAGGACAGTATGGTGGTTCTTAACGAAATTAGGACCCAGCCAGGTGACGCCTTAGAGGCAGCCGTTAACTTCATTTCAGAAAAGTGCTCAATGACAGGGCAAAAAACACCTGTATGTTATAAACTCACTTACATGGAAAAAGTCCACAAAGGCATTACAAACTGACAAAAGCAGATTATAAAACAGTATGTACGTTATGATCTCAGTTTTGTTAAATATACATGTATCTTCACAGAAAACAAAGGACTAAAAGGATGTAAACCAAGATCTTGGAGCTTACTAACGGACGGTGAAATACGGGGGATGCTTGTTTCCTTCCTTATAATCTTTGTACTGTCAGATTTTATGTTTCAGTTTTTATCAAAATACAAGGTTTTAAGAATATACATGAAGTAAGATTTCTCACTAATTCTGACTTTTTCCTCAATTCAAAATTAGCAAGATTTTACAAAATAGGTTTTATCACATTGTTATACCGCTCTCAAAAGAAAAATCTTCAAAATTCACACAAGCTTTTGACTTTGAAATCTAAGTATTACAATTTTCAATTAAAAGGGTCAAAATCTGAGTGTGGCCGGATTACTGAACCTGCTTAATGGAAGTCAAGGAGGGCACACCTGAACACAGTGACGGAGTCGGAGAGGGAACCCACAGCAATATCGGGGTAGAAATTTCTATCAAGGTCCATATCTCCAGCAATTGAATATCCAAAATAAGGTGTTTTACCCTCGAGAATCTGAAATGAACAAGGCATCAGGATGAACAACAGCCCACCATAATGAGCTTGTCTGGGCTCTGAAAAAGCATGGTTCCTTTTAAACTGAAGTTCAAGTTATAAGTGATACTAAATTATAAATGAGTTATAACTAAGTCTACATGTGATCCCACACCTCATACATTTTATTTCATAGAAGTCATCTGATTTACATTGGATCTCAAAGGTTTTGGGACAATTTTTGGTGAGCTTCTTTACTATATACCAAACAAACCTCTCTGCCTGCCCTCCAAAATGTCGTCTTCTTCTCAAAAGCAATTTTTAATTTTTGGAGTCTCAATTCTCCACGTAATCACAATCATCTATTTCATTTGCCCCATTTTTACCTCCATTGAGTATGCTACCAAAGGAAAGATATCACATTTCCATCTATTTATGCTGTCCGGTAAAATAGTCTTTTCTTTTGGATTACTTCGACTCCTAATTTATCTAAGAAATTTTTCAATTAACATAAGTCCATCAATGCATTTATATCTATTTACTGTCCTGGTAAAATCGTCTTTTCCTTTGGATTACTTCGATTCCTAATTTATCTAAGAAATTTTACAAGTAAGCAATCCACATCATTGCATTTATATCTGTTTCCAAGCTATCTTCCAATAGTACATTTTTTAACTACAAAATTCACACTACTACAGATTTGTATATAAAATGCAAGCGGCATGAAAATGCACATAAACCCAAATGCCCTATTACAAGGCAAAAAGCGGAGACCCATACTGTGGAAATCTGGGCTGTCTATTTACCTGTGTTGGCTTGGTATTTATTCCATTCCGGGACCCATGATAGATGAAAACCTTTCCCATATCATCATAGGGTGCTCCAACTGCAATATCTGTTGACGACATCACATTTCAACAAACGATACATTTTAAAAACATTCCAATACAACATTTCAGAATAAGAAACCATAAGCATTCATCACCTCAGACAATCAAATAATCTACCTACGAACATTGTAACGGTTTCACAATCTACTACCTACCCGGGTAGCCATCTTGATTAATGTCGCCAATGTTTTTCACTGCAATGCCAAACATGGAATCTTTGGTTCCATTGAGACGAATTGGCTTGACGTTATTCCACCTGCCTTGCTGGTTAATGTAAACGTACACCGCACCTCCGACTTCTCCATTTCTATCAAAATACTGTGGGGCTCCAATAACTATATCTTGCCACCTAAAAATGCAATGAGGGATAAAAGTCAACCATCAGCTAAAATACCAGCGAGCTCATGGAGAATACCTCCAGCCCATGGACTAAGGGCACGGGGATTGGATGTAGAAAGGATCTCAAATCTGGAATTTATTTCTCCTCAATTAAAACATTTTTAAGGTATGTTTATGTAATGTTTTAGGGAACATAATGTTTAGGCATGTAAATGTTTATACTTAGGTAAAACATTTTACATGGTGGCCCATAATAAATGCCCAAAGAAAAATAGCAAAGGGCCTGAGGACAGTCCCCAAGTAAGAACAAGTGTGCAGATTCCACTCCCTTACACCCGCCACCCAAACTGGCACCACCAGCCATAACTATTCTGTCCCCAATCCAATCCCTACTTTCAAAAGCATATCCTAGATGCTCTGACAGCTCCTAAGAAACCACAGAAGGATGATGCAGGTGTTGTTTTTCGAGTTAACTTTTTTTCCCCCAAATTTTAATTCTCACAGACCGGAAACTCATGTTTTGGGGTCTGAAAACTGAAAACTGAAATGTAATCCTACACCATGGGGAGGGCAATGAAGGCCTGCTGCCAAAGTACAAGTGATGAAGATGGGATAGGATAGTAAAAATCTGGCAGCAAAAACATTCTTTGGAATCCACTAACCTGAAAGGATGGCTCTTCTCAAGCCCTAAAGAAGCCAGAGAACCAACGATTTCTTGGCAAATGTAAAATAACCTAAGATACTCTTACCCATCCCTGTTAAGGTCCGCCACTGCCACGTCATAGCCAAATGACGATGCCAGACCCTCCCCGTCGAAAATGTGCTCAGGGAGAAGATGTGCAGACTTCATGTCTCTTTTCAGCAAAACCACAGCTCCACTATGATTGGCTCGTGGAGCACCAGACACGAAAGTGAGCTCATCTTTAGAAACAATACCTTTTCCTGAGTCCAAAGAAAAGCCTAGAAAAACAAAATAATGTTCACATCATCCTGTATTCAGGAGTTATCTACCGCTGGCAACTCCATCACTGCCTTTTCCTCTGGCTTCCAACCCCCTCCTTCTGAGCCTCTCTACCAGCTCATCGTATTTACAACACGAAAGAGTTACAGAGCTAAGAGGTCTGACCCGAGTACAAAGAAGTAGGCTATTTCACTGCTTTCTAAGGGAACATATGAAGACTTTTAAAGGAGACCACCTATGCTACTTAACACCTGTGTAACTTAAATCATGAAGCATTCATGCACCTGAAGAAGCCGTTTGAACCCCATTTTAATACCGAGACTGTGACCAAAGGAGGTCAAGCTAGATACTAAATTATCATGGGAGAGGATACACAGAGATACAGGCAGACACAGCATACCTGAGTGCGTGTTATTGGGCTCTGTCATAATGTAATGATTAGTAATCCCCTCGGTAACCAGGCAAGAACGCACGCAAACATCATTCGTATACGACAGACAACATTTCAGTATTTTGAACCAACTTGATTCTCAGACACAAACATGCAAACAAGACCATGACTGGTGAGATACAGTATTTGAGAACGCAGTATAAACAATAGAGGTGAGCAAGCGGTCACTGATGACAATTATATACTTGTTCAGAGAGCAGAACATGTGAGACACCTGACTATAAAGCATCAGGTAGGATGTCAGGTAAGAGACTGAGGTCTGGTAGCAAGTGAGTGTAAATGCCTCCATCAGAACTACTCACATTAAGCAAATCTTGCTATGTAAAGGTGAGGCAGATGCACAATGGTGTAAGCTCACCCTTTTTAGTGGGATTTATAAAAAGCTTCACCACTACTGTTGTAGTTCTCAAATTGTGAAGTGTGAGTTGCAAAATACAATGAGCTCCAAGTTTAGAAAAGGGTGATATAATGGAGTCCAGCTCTGAACACCACGCGGCATCAGAGCCTCAACCGTGGGAGGTTCTCATGTGTACTCACTTGAAAGGAAATAGAACATAAAAGGATGGATGCTCTGTATGAATCAAAAAAAAATTTTTTAAATGACCATGACCAAGACAATTTATTTGTCATCTCAGAGGTCACAAACCTAGGTAGCTATTCATCATCACATCAGGGGACGTGCTGGGCCGCTCCCTGGGAGGCTGTGTTTTATAAACAAACTGATCGGGGTCTGCATAGGAAACGCTGGTCAAAAACAGCAGGCCTGGACACGTGCACAGAACGGAAGAGATTGAAGAAAAAGCAATTACGCTTCGTAAGAGGCACGACAGCTTCAGCTTTGGCTGCTCCAGCCGGACAATGAGGCCACCAGGCCACCACGGCCTCCAGCAACCACCCTCTCTGCCAGCTTCCAAAACCTCAAGCCGATCATTTTATTCCTCAAAACCATGGACTTGTTGAAATGACAGATGCACAGACAGCATGGACAACAAAAAAAATGTAACGATACAAACTTGACGGTTTCCCCCTCCAGGCACCCACATTCAAGGACATCCACTGATCAAGGTGGCAAATGTGCTTAACAAAAAGGGTTGAATCTTTTCAGATGCTGCAATAGCATCTATGTTCACAAAATCCAGAGTGTTGGTTTCATGACCCAGAAAGCCCTCACTGGGTTTCTTGACCATTAAGTTAAATTTTAATTTAAAATTAAATACTACTTCTCTCTCTCTCAAAAATAAACATTAGAAAATTTTTAATTAAATACTTCTCATCATAAATAACTCCTAAGTAACACATTTGATTTGATAACACATATACTCAAATAAAATATGGGTTTGTTGATGGTATTTATCCTGAAAAATCATATTTAATACGGAGACTACAAACTGCTGGCACCTATGTCCTTTCCTGTCCTGCAAAGCCACTGACGAGGCACTCAAGCATCCAGCCGCTTCCCACCCTGCCCCTGTCATTTCCAGGAAACTTTCTTTCCTTGGCTGAGGGGTCAGTAACTGTGTGACCTTGGACTAAGAAACTAATCTTCCTAAGATACACTTTTTTTCATCATCAAAAGAGGGATAATCGTATTTATTTTATAATATTGTTGGGAAGGTTAAGACAGACCTGTAAAGTAGTTAAATATAGCACATGACTTCCAGCACATGGTTAGCACTTAACAAGTGGTAAATTTAACTTTTCTCTGCCCTCTTCTATGCCTTCATGATTGCATTTTTAATTTGGGGGTAAGGAGGGAGGGTCTGAAAAATTTTTTTTTCTAAATTAACAGTACCATCCATGTATACCTACATAATTAGACCATTTTAAGAATACGTTTACGGGGGTGCCTAGATGGCTCAGTTGGTTAAGGGTCCGACTTCGGCTCAGGTCATGATCTCATGGTTCGTGGATTCGAGCCCCACGTCAGGCTCTGTGCTGACAGCTCAGAGCCTGGAGCCTGTTTCAGATTCTGTATCTCCCTCCCTCTCTGACCCTCCCCTGCTGATGCTGTCTCTCTCTCAGAAATAAAAAAAAATTTTTTTTAATTTAAGAACAATTTTAAAAAAGAGATTATGTTTACTAACACATTGATAACAATTATTCTTCGTGTTTACTTTTATAATCCATCGTTTCAGTAACATCTCTAGCATAGGGAAACTTAAAAAAAATAGGTTACTCGTTAGGAGATTTTTTACATTTTTTTCAAAAAATGCGCAGTAATTATTCTTTATGTCAACTCACACCAAGAATTAAAGCTTTTAAAAGCCTTTGTGTAATTACCATAATGCACATGAATGATTTAGGACGCCCATTAGTAACGCAGACAAGCCTGAGGACTTAGGGAACTGGCACTCAGACATGATCTGGTGTCCCCCAGTGGTGCAGCCCAGCTTCCGCTGGAAAGCTGCCGCGCCACCCATGAAGGGCCCCATGACATGGAGGCCCCAATCCAGAAGCAGGGCCAACCTTGGAAGGGCAACAGTTATAAAGGAAGGACATGGAGGTCTTGATCCGCCACCACAGAGTAACTTCATAAACGTAGCTCTCAAGAGCATCTCTAGAAAGGAGACGGCTCAGCTGACTGCTAACAGCCACATACTTTTTCCCAGCTGCATGAACAGCCTGTGTCAGGGTACAGAGGCTGACCCTAGCTCAAGAGATAGACTTCCATGCAGGAGGTTTCCTCTCATCTTGAGGGAGCCCAGGTCAGAAGGGAAGGGTTCCAGGCACCTGTCAGGTAACCTCAGGATCACCAAAGCTTAAGCCCAATTGCCCATCAATGTAGCCACAGGCCCCTGGCTCCACCTGGCCTATTCTCAGCCTCCAAGTCCAGGTCCGGGGAGGACCCTGTTGCACTGAGACATCTGAAAAGACAGGCGTGCCAAGCTATGCTCGTTCCTACCTAAATAACTGTTAGCAGGAACAGGAACTAGACTCTCGTCATGGTCAGTCTCTCCACCAACTTCATAAGGCCCATCTTCAAAGATGTTCATGTCAAAAAAAGTGTGATTCTTTTGCTCTACGCGAACAATGCCTACAGGAATGAAATGGCAAAAACAACAACAACAACAAAAAACAATGAAGATGAAACAAAATAAAAGAGATGGTTCCTAATAAACCTGCCTCATGTAATCACTATCATTATAGGAAGAAAAGTCTAGAGTAAGAAAAGGCAAAGGAAAGAGGGCTTTTGAGGTTATTAAAGTTAATAAAATCACGTTTGTGTGAATTTTTACAAAGAAATGTATTCTAATAGTTTAAAAAAAATGCCCCATGCATTTTCAGGAATTATCTTTATAATGCCAAAAAACTAGATGAAAAATGGAAAGTTGACTTAATGAAACTACAGAAAATAACTTTTTAAAAGCTATAGGGGTCTGATGTAGCAATCCTACATCAATTTACCTACTTTACTATAATATAAAAGTGAAATGTTTTGATCCTTTCTCCAAATCACATTAACCAAGATTTCATCTTTCTAAAATTTTCACAATTAACAACTAAAAAAAGATTTCGTATAGTAAGCCTATTACATTTTAAAAATGGTAACATTTCAGGCCACCTGGATGGCTCAGTCAGTGGAGCCATGAACTCATGATTTTGGCTGACTCTTGATTTTGGCTCGGGTCATGATCCCAGAGTCATAGGATCAGGCTCCATGCTGAGTGTGAAAACTCCTTGAGATTCTCTCTCTCCCCCTCTGTCCCCCACCTGTTTGTATGTGCTCTAAAATTTAAAAAAAATAGGTAACATTTTAAGTCAGGGTTTATAAAGCAGGTAAGACACGTTTCCCATAAATACATACATACATAATTGGTGGGTGTCTTTGTTATCTTACTAAATATGGCAGCTCTTCTTGCTACGATAGAACTATTTCTAAATTCAGTGCGTTATCTTCATTAGGTCAGTATAACCTTACAAATACAGTTATGTTGGGGGTGGGGAGGCCAAAGAAAATTACTCCCAACGGTTAAGATGGATGATATAAAGAGGAAGGTGTCCTCAAGAATTATTTCTAACAGGAATTCAAACTTGGGGGGAGGACGCCTGGGTGGTTCAATTGGTTAAGCCTCCAACTTTGGCTCAGGTCATGATCTTGAGGTTCATGAGTACGAGCCCTGCATCAGGCTCTGTGCTGACAGCTCAGAGCCTGGAGCCTGCTTCAGATTCTGTGTCTCCCTCTCTCTCTGCCCCTCCCCAGTTCATGCGTTCTCTCTCTCAAAAATAAATAAAAACATTAAAAAAAATGTTTTAAAGGAATTCAAACTTGGGGAGATTTTTAAAATGCATTTCCTAAGTTTTTCTTAACTAGTGAAAATGCTGTAACATAGGATTTATTTTAATAAATTTGTCAAAAGTCTTATGCCTAAATCATATACAGTTTTCTTCATTATGCGTTAGAGTTAATTGTCCTTTGAAATATAATGGTTTTCTGTGCCTGCCTAATTTCTTCAGAGAAGTTAAATTGTAATTTACAGGAGCTGACCAGGTTCATCCAGTCAAAACTGACGACATTCTCCTCCCCTCTTCCCACCAATTGTCTCCTTTTACCTAAATCACAATCATCATTAAACAATACCATTAAACAACTTTCCCGTAAATAACCTAAAATTCTCATATCAAAATATTCCTAATTCATCTACTCGTCTAACTTTTCTGCTTTATTAGTAAAACACAGCCTTTTAAGATAATATATAATAAAAGAAATCTCTGTATTAATACACTGTTACTTACATAGGCCACCAATTATTTTGTTTTCAGATCACAACCTTAAAATGAAACGTTTACTAATTAAAACTTTCACCTTCAAGGAACAGGAAAACACAAAACAAAAAAATCCCACTAATGTTAATTATTATATTCTTACAGAAAAAGGCTAACTACTTGTATTAATGTAAATTGCTGAGAGGGGAAAAAATATCTTCAAACATTTCTACCACCGTTACTGAAATCATATAGTTGAGAGATTATAAGATCCTACTTTACTTCTATAATACATAAGTGCCTCCTAACACATTTTGTTTTAACTTAAAATCTACTCAATCATGGTGCATATAGGAGAATTATGTGGACATTCTAATCTCTGTCACTATAAATACATGTCCTACCTTTCCAGTTGTAAGTGCCTGGGGCTCCAAACACAATGTAATGGAAGTCTTTAGTGAAAGTGGCTGCGACTCCTTGCTGGCAAGAACCAAATTTTTCATGGCCTCTCAATCGGCCGTCGCAGAAACTCCAGTCTCCTCCATCCATGTCATCCTCGATCCTGAGATTCTGACTCAGGACGTAACACCTTCCAAAGATGTCGCGGGATTCTTGCTTTGTGTTGACGTGTTGCCTTTTTTCATATCGATGAGCACATGTCTACAAACAGTTGGAATGAAGCAGCCCATTCGTTTCCTCCAATCTTACGCTTATTATTGACAATTTTATCAATTTGTAATAAAGAGGGATTAATTCTAAATGGGAAACGAAACATGTCCTCATCGTGGGCCTGGATCCAAAACCAGCGAATGTTCCCCCAAGTGGCACGGAGAAGACTATTATCTAGCATATAGGAACTAGGACTCCTGTCTTCTCACCTGGAGAAGAACGCTCCAGTGCAAATACTGAATGCCAATCTATAGTTCACAGGCAATTAATTTGTAAATTTATCTGTCATATAAACAATGGGAAATATCTTATTTCAGTTTCTTAATTTAATTGGCTTTGAAGGCTGTATAAACTTTCACATCAGTGTGTTTGTGAAAATAATGTGATTATGTTCCAGAGGAGAGAAATCACAGACATATTTTCATAGGGATCAGGCAAATACAGCTAAGTCAAAAACCTTTCCCTTTTATGCACATTATTTCCTTACAGTCACTCCTAACTTATACTCTGAGATTAGGTTTATTTTAAAAGGCAGAGAGAAATATACTGCCAAAAGAGATGAAATAATTTCTAAAATTTCACAAGGTATTCATGGCTACCCTCCATGTAACAGGATGAAGAGACTGTACAATATCCAAGTGGATTTCCTGTAAGGATCCCTTAGATATCAAAATTTAGTGTTCACTAAAATTCTCGTTTTCCCCCCCAAACCCTATATAAATTTGCTACAGCAACCAGAGTTTGAAACAGACACACAAGGATCATCATAAGCCAGCCTGGAAGGCATTGCCAAGGCCATCTCACACAGCCTACCTAACAAACCCCTTTTCTTCACTACCACTTGTATTTGACTTTGTTCAGAATAAACAACCAGGAAATTTTAAATGATCTGATCTTACTTTCCATGACATTTCCCAGATTTTTTAGAACTCCTCTACAAAAGACACATAGTTCCTGGAACAGAAACCAGGTCTAGTTTTGTGTTTTAAAGACCATCAGGAATCACGGGGAAAATAATGCCTTGATTTCTTCTTGACACCAATTCCTGCTTTAAAGCAGTAAATCTTCTAGAAAGTATAACTCTGTGTGGGCAGGAGCTCTGCCAATCTTGTTCACTGCTGTACGTCTCATGCTGTCACATAATAGGCACTCAGACATTGTGGAATGAACACACTTCTCTACACTTACCACAACTTTGCCCCCTGGACCTTGGCTCTGGACGGTGACCCCCATCCATTGATCTTCCTTGCTTTCTGATAAAGGGTCAGCTATGGAAAGCAGCACAGGTGACATACACACAGTTAGGACCTTCAAAGTGACTGAACCAGTCAATAAAGCAAGAGATGAACACAATACGAGACGGTTTCTAAATTGCCTAGATTCCAAGTCTTGCTACTCAGTAAATTCACGTACTCGATTCAGAAAAATTAAGAAAACGAGTAAGTGGTTATTGGTAAGAACCTTCTGTAAAATTCTTTACATAAAATATATAGCTCTATTTGGTAGCCCTACATCCTCTCTGACACTTAGGGTCCTAAGTACAGAAAATCTGAAAATTATAAGGCTAAGGGGTAGCCTTCCACCATATGCCACTTAAAGCAAAGACATATTTAAAAAAAAAAAAAAAAGCAGTGATGCAGAAATCCAGTTTCCAAACTCCAACTACCATCCAAACTAAAAAAAAAAATGGGCAGTTCTCTACACAGTATCAATTTTGTTACATAACAACATGAACCATTCTCTTTATTGGAGATAAGAAGACAAGGCTTTATTACCTTTCTATAAATGCTAAAAAGGAAAATAGATATATTTTTAGCCCCCAAAAAAGAGAGAAATCACAAAAGCCATCATGTACTCATTTCAGTATCAATCTGAACCTACTGTGTGACCCTATACCCAAAATTCTGCCTTCCTCAATGAGGAGGCAGGTATGATTTTTAACCTTCAATCATTATAAAAACACAGAAAGTAAATACAGAAGCCAAAATTTTAAAGAGTGATTATGTCTAGATTACCCATGGGTTCTTGGTTTATTCTTTACATAGGTCAGTGTCTTTTACAAGTGTCTCACAGTTAACATGTATCATTTTCTAATCACTGAAAAAAAAACAAATGTTATTTCTAAAAGATGTAAAAGTGAGAGAAGCACATAAAAGTGAATCTGCAAACCAACTTAGACCACGTTATGTCAAATCCAGCTTGCTTGAGCCTTTTCAGTACACTAACTGCTCTGCTCAGCAGAGTCCTCACAAAAGAAGCCTCTGTCTGATCCATTAGGGCAAAATTATCCATGATGGTCAGTTCTTATTTCAGAGGGAGCTGATATTTAAAACAGACTTTCTCCCAAATATTTTAACAGCAAGCGAGGACTTTTGGCAGCTAAGTACAAGCTATGCACAATTTTCTTTGCTGCTGTGAACAGCCTCCTGTAGAACCTCAACACATCACTAGGTGGCGACATCAATACACCATATCAGTTTAGAAAGCAGGATTAGGAAGGGCAGCAATTCCAAGCATCCCACCGTCATTCAAAATGTAGATGTTTTCAGAGCAAACAAGTCAAGACATGTCATTAAAAGAGGCCCCTTCTCCAAGAACAAATGCTTGAACCCCCTTCTCCCCTCACGGAAAGGGCAAATGGGGTACAGGTAAGCTGGCCAAGTGGATATACAGTACAGAAGAACACACCATCGTTATCAAATTCAATCCGTGTGCAAGGACCCCGGGAGGTGATGTCGCAGCTGTACAAGCCTCCTGTTCTGTTGGCCTTCTGCAGTGGAAGGGCCACGGCCCGCGGGGCCCCTACGAGCAACCTGTTGACGAAAGAGAGAATTTAGGGATTATGAGTTTAACACACACTGAACATTTCAATTACACATTCTTTGTCAAGAGCTCCCAGATGCCCTGCTGGCTTGGGCGCTGGGGAGAGTAAAGGCGGAGTCCTGTGACCGGATCATGCAACACACACATGCACAAGTAGCCAAGTCAAGCCCCAGAAGAGGGTTTGTTCAAACAAGGCAAAAAGTATCAGCCACCTCTCACAGTATCAGCACCTCTCTGCTGAGTGGGATTCTGGTGTTTTATTTTTTTTTAATTTTTTAATGTTTTATTTATTTCTGAGAGAGAGAGAGAGACAGCGTGAGCAGAGGAGGGTCAGAGAGAGAAGGAGACACAGAATCGGAAGCAGGTTCCAGGCTCTGAGCTGTCAGCACAGAGCCCAATGCGGGGCTGGAACCCACAAGGTGTGAGATCATGACCTGAGCCGAAGTCGGACACTCAACTGACTGAGCCACCAAGGCACTCTGGATTCTGGTGTTTTAAAAGACACACTTTTCATAGATAGATAGAACATGACCCCTAAACCTAAACCAAAGACATATGGAACTTAACAGACAAATGCTCCCACATGGGAGGGGGGAAAATGGCCCCATTAAACTTAACAAGCAATAATATGTCAATTTCTAACACTGCCTTCCTGAGGTATTTTTCAAAAGTAATTTTAACTATACCCTCAATCTTCAGTGTACATACTGGCTAAATTAATTAAACAATGAGGCCACTAGGCTGCTGTGGCTCTAATGACATGACAGCCTACATAAGCAAAAAAATATCTAAGCCTATAAATGCCTCAAGGTTATAAAATCAAACCTGACAGACAACCGATCGTAAACAGCCAATCAGACCTTAAGGTACAGTTGATTAAATAATTTTTCTTTGATTCTTTACTTACTCTATGTACGTCTTTCCCCTGCTTCCTGTTGGCAGAAAACTCCTAACCACTTCCAACTTGCTGCTGCCAGATTCCAATCGATTTTTGCTCAAATAAACTCAAAGGATTTAAAATATGCTTCAGTTTATCTTTTAACAACACTGATTTAGAACCTAACCTTGCCCAAGATACAACTGGCCTGAACTTCTTTCCCTCTGTCCCTCTCTCTACCTTTCTGTGTCATCCTTGGCGCTCTTGCCTCAGAGAGGGTCCTCCACAATTGTCCTCTCGGCCTGAGACCACAGGCAGGGTCTGCACAGGCCCACCTGCATACTAGATATTGTAACGCTCCTTCTTCTTCCCTCCCACTCCAAGAGGGGGCCTTATCCCTAACCCACAATCCTTAAAATCCTTAAAATGTAAGCCAGGAAGGATCTTTAGAGCCCTACTGTCTTTCTGTAGGGCTCCTGTTGCTAAGGCTTTACTCACCATCTTTGGGTCTGACTGACTCATGGAACAGCTTGGAACAGAGACCAAGGGAAAGAGCACACCTGACTGGACAGAGAGAAACAAGGCTAGAGCTGGGGGAGAGGGCTAGACACACAAATGTAAACAAAACACCCCCAAACAGAAAATAGGCTACTCCGCTTTTAAGAAACCCACAAAACTCAAGATGCAAAAGCAAAAAAGACAAAACAAACAAACAAAAAAACCCACCTGCAAGCGAAAGTCTCTACCACTTGTCTCTATGATCCCAGTAAAGGATTTAACCAAAAAAAAAAAAAAAAAAAATTAAACCAATAGAATGCAGCAGGTGCAACAGAAGGAAATGCACTCAAAAAAGCGGAGGGGCCAGACTTTGTCCAGGGAGGGCCAGTGAAGCCAGGTGTTACAGAATGAGGGCTGGCTTGCGTAGGAACACACGCCCCTGGTGCCGTCCTTCCTCCCGGCTCCCCAGAGAGCAGGCATGGCGAGCTTCCACCTCGAACCCCGTCCTACATTAAAGGGATGAACAGCATACACCAAGACAGAGAGCTGGAATGGAGACTTAGCAGGACCAAGGCAGGGTCCTTAGTGCCTGGAAGCTTCTGGCAGAGGGTCAAGGCAAGGCCAATGGCCACAGGAACTGCCACACACATACTCCACGAATGTTGTCCCAGATCTCAGGAGCTCTGACAACTAGCTGAGAGGTGAACTGGCCTCGAATGTCAGTGAACAAGCTCAATTATGTGGCAGGATAGGGATGGGACCCTGACCCAGGGTCTGTGTGGGGTTAGCAAGGTGCTGGGGTCAACAGTGCTGGATCACAGGATGTGAACACTAGAAGCACCAGAAAGCACCTAGCTCCCTGATTTTACAGATGAAAACAGAGGCCTCTGCAAGGAGGGGAAGTAGTCTGCCCCTGAGATCTCATAGGTAGTTCTCTAAGTCCAAGTGTATAGATAGGACAAAAAATTACTTTGGAGCAATGTTTCTTTCCCACTCCTGTTAAATGCTCGGAAATATAACCCAGGATTTTCAAGCATTTACAACCTTGCTGAAAGGGCACAAAGACCCAAATGAAATACTGAAACAAAACTGCTCTGGTTACTGACAAATGTAGGCAAAATATAGGAAGGCTGAAGGAAGGCAGAGTGAAAGCGTTGTTAGAACTGGGTGGGGTGAAGGCTGGGAAGAAGTTATCTGTAAAGGTAACCAACTGCACCGGGAAGGCTATAAAGGGCCGCGGGGGAGTCCCAAGGTTATTACAGTGTCTTCTCTGACCACGTCCCCTCATCCACACCCAAGGAAGCTGGCAAGCTACCTAAGGCAGGTGGTGGGCTTGTTATTTCCTGTTCACTCATACACTTAATCATTCCACAAACATTCAAGAACCTTCTACGAGTGTGGGTTGCCCCCTCCCCCCCATACTCTGGCCCTGAGGGAGCCAGATTCATAAGCAGGTACTAAACCAGAGGGAGGCAGAGGCCGTGGCGAAGGCGGGACGGTAATGCTGCGCACGTCCAGGGGAGGGCGCCAAAACCTGCCTGGGGGAAGGGGGTCACCCAGACCACAGCGGAGCCGAGGGAGGGGCTTGTCACGTGCAGAGGCTGACGGCGGGGGGGGGGGGGGGGGGGGGGGGGGGGGGGGGGGGTTGGGGTGGATGGAAGAGCCAGAGGAAACAGAGGGGTGGTAATCAGGGAATCAGGGATGCCACAAGACGGGGCCGGGAGGCGCAGCCTGGTTGAGGTTCTGGGGTGAAGGGCCAGAGACACACGCACCTGCAGCGCCCCTCAGAGCCCCAGGCTGCCGTGCCCTGCAGAGGATGGGTGCTTGCAGACTTCTGCTCCACGTACTAGGACAGACACCCAGAGTGGGCCTGCCGCCTCCCCCACCCCGTTTCTCCTGGCAAAACGGTGGGGCTTCTCTCTCCTCGGTACTTCCACCGTCCACTTGTTCCCCTTATCCTGAATGGCTAAGACAAGCCTTTAGCAGACATGCGAGAAAGAGGCGGCCTTTCACTCCAGTTTGCCAACTGGTTTTAGAGGCTGTGGCAGCAAAATTTCATGTGTGCTAAAAACGCCAAGCCCTCGCAGGAGCCCCCACCCCCCCGGCTACCGCAGATGAAAGCTGACATACAGAATGAAGGAAACAGCAAGAAGGTTTGAGGGTGTGGGGAGGGGCAGGAAACACAAAAAAGTTAAACAAGAGAAATGTACTTCTGGAGAAGAACATTAAGGGCCACGTCGCCTCCTGGTGGGCTCTGCCTGCACGTGTTCCCAGCACAGGTCTTCCCCCCAGGTCCCTGGACAGCTGGCACAGTGAGCCCACTTCAGAATCCATCCCGCCCTGGATGGAGGGAGGCGGGGTGCTCTGCCTCAGGCCCAGGCAGCCAGAGCAAGAGCAGACCGTAACTACTGGGGCAGAAGCGCGCCCCTGCTCTGGCTGCACCTGGGTCCCTGGGACCACACTTCATCGGATATTCAGGAAAACAATGACTGGTGTGGGGGAGGGGAGAGCAGGTGGAATTAAGTGGGATAAAATGAGAATCATAGAAAATACAAGGAAGCACCTTGATGGGAAAAAACATAGCACCTAACCCCAATCAAATTCAACAAATGGCAAGTGTCTCAATTCTCAGGGTAAAAGTGATCGGGAAGTAAGCAAACTCTACTCGAAACCAGCCTTTATCAGGAGGTCACAGCACATGAGTGGAGGCTATGTCTGGCAGGAACAAATAATCAAAAAGAGCTGTGTCCAGGCAAACGACACCATCCGTGGGGCAAGTCCTGTCTAAGTCCTATAGGATGGGCACTAGTCTATAAGCCATTCAAACACAACTGGCGCCTGAGCTAGCCAACTGGGTAGGCCCCAAGAGGGATGGTCTTCACGTAGAGGAGCCCTCAGGCCACACCAGAACCCACAGTTTCTGTTCAAATCCCATTTTTCTTCACCCTGCCCCCACTGCCCATGATGCTACTTCGGTGTAGGCAGCACACACTTTCCGCACAGCCAGGACAGCCACTCCTAAGACTCAGGTAGCAGCTGCTAGGCTGCTGAGTTAATTTCCTTTTAAGAAGCAGTGACAGCAGCTGCTGTTATTACTGACCCACATGTATGGAAGAATTCAAAACTGCAGTAACAATTCACATTCACAGTGGCAGGGGCCAGAAGTTATGGCCTTCAAAGGGAAGTGGTGGAAATTAACAGAATTGGGTCTAAGAAGCCTATTTCCATATCAAGTCAAAAAAGGGCAAGAATCTTAAGTTTTGAACTAAGATTGTTTTAGGCACCAAAAGGAACAGGAAAAAATACTTCACAGATCACAAAGCAAACAATCACCTTCACTATTTTGAAGCTGCAATGGCATAAAAACTGCTCTGGGATTCCAACATACTGGAAAGTCACACTTAAAATATAAAAATATGAAACTCAGGGGCACCTGGGTGGCTCACAGTCAGTTAAGCACCTGACTCTGGCTGAGGTCATGATCTCATGTTGATGGGTTCGAGCCCTTCATCGGGCTCTGTGATGACAGCTCAGAGTCTGCAGCTTGCTTTGGATTCTGTGTCTCTCCTCCTCCCCCTTCTCAAAAATGAATAAACATCAAAAATAATTTTTTAA